GACGGGACGGGACGGGACGGGACGGGCGGCGCTGCCGGCGGTGGCTCCAGCGTCCAGGGAGGGAGAGAGGCTGTGGCCGCACTCCCCGGGAGGAACCGGAGCGATCCGGAGCAAAAGGCACTTCTCCCACCTCTCAGAGGGTCGGGAGCTGCAAGACAGGAGCGCCTGGCGCTCGGGCTCGCCCCGCCCCGTCCCGTCCCGTCCCGTCCCTCCCCACGGGCTCCCGGCGCGGCTCCCACCGCGTCCCCAGCGCAGAGCCCGGGTGGCACCCGGCTGACCGCGACTCTGGGAGCGGGAGCAGGACCCCTCCCCAGGGCAGGATCGCACCTCGCACCCCGTCACCTCCCTAGCCTCAGCGCAGGTAACACCCCTGCCATGCTTTCAGGGGCCCTTCTGCCTCTCCTCACGAGTGCGACAGAAGATAAGGCAGCATCCGTCCCCCTGCGCCCAGCCGCGAAGGGAGTCCCGCAGTGCGTCCGATCTCCGGGCCCTGGGCTCCCCTGCGAAGTTGGAAAGATAAGCAGCAACAGGCGAGTGCTTCCATAGAGACTCTTCCAGTATTAGCCTGCCTCATCATGCATCCTCCTGGTAGAGAAAAAGCTCTTCCTGAGCTCTGTCATTAGGTAATGTCAGTGGGCAAGAAAAAGCAGGTAATGAAAACTGGACACAAATGCAGAAAGCAAAACAAGATTATCCTTGTACGTTCCAGTAAGAATTACAGTAATTTAATACCGATGAAATTTACTTGATGCAAGTGTTCCATTATTTCATTTTTGTTATTCTACATTTGCTGAAAAATGTAAAATCAAAACTTTTCATACTATACCATCGCTATGACGTAACAGTGAGGAGTCTCTTTGCACCTCTGTGCCCACTGCACAAACAACATCAGCACCAGATCCAGGGCTCTCCAGAGCTAAGTCCAGTGATGCTAGTTACACCAATGCCGTACTATGGAACCAAGAACCAGTAACCACTGGTTCAACTAAATGGGCATCAGAATCAGTATCACCTTGGACCTCAGTCCTAGTTGTGGTCAGTTTAAAATTAGGAGCGTCTTTCTAAACTCAAAGCATGTTCAGACAACTGAATGTAAAACTAGCACTATGTTTTATAAAACGCTTAAAGGTGAGAGAACAGTTAGTTTATTTCCCCTTTAATTTCTTATCTACCCTTCACATCAATTCTTACTTTGATATCTTTACTCTGGGTCCCAAATAGTTAATCATGGAAGCATCATCTCAGCTGTTACCACCTCTTTACCCCTGGGATAGAACAGTGGACATATTTCAGTGAGTAGTGATGTCTGATGGCTGAGCTTAAAGTACCAGAAAGGAGTTTTCAGAGTATAAGGTGCCTGTAGCTCTTGGAGTCACAAGTTGATGAACTTGAAACGTTTAAGCAAGTACCAGTACTCAGTCACTTATGAAAGTTTATCTCATCTTTTTGTCACTCAGAAAAATGACAAAGGAGGCAGCAAGCCTTGGAAATACTCCAGAGATCTCCTGGCATCAAAGCAGCAGGGTTCTTAGCTAGATGTTCGTGACTCCCCACTTGCTGTTTGTAGGCATGTTTCAAAGCTTGTCAGAGCCAGGTGAAGCAAAGATGCCCATAAAGTGTCATGGCCAAAGTGAAAGTGTGCTAAGCCAAATTCTGATCTTACTTCAGCTTTAAATTGACTTTGGTAATACTCGTCCTGGTTGATACTGTGCTATTTGGCAGTACAGCTGAGCTCACAAGACAGTGTCACTATGACTGTGCCTGCCCTGCCAGAGCAGCCAGATGCCAGCATAGTACAATCCGAAGTGAATCGCGACAATCGGAATCAATAGGAAACAGTATGTGAATCACCGTTTAATGCACTCCAGGGTGAGTCATCCCAATTCAAACCAGCTTTCAGACCAGTACAATGTCAGTCAGCTCCTCACACAGTTCAGTGTGAGTCAGATCTCAGCACCGAGTACAACATGAAATGAGTCACCAACTAATACAGCGCCATGTGCCTGCAGTACCCGGTGCGAGTTGTCAGAGCTTCTGTGTGATATGAGTCACTTCATAGTACAGTAAAATGGGCTTTTTGGAGACCATTCATAATTAAGCACAATGCAACCAAGCCCTCAGTAGGAGATGATGGGAGTGAGCAGAGTAATCTGCTACATGCAGCAGTTTCACTGCGTAGTAGAAAGGTTTGTAAAATATTAGGATGAATGATTTTTTTTTTTTTTTTAAAGCAAGCTACATAAAAATAACCAGAAGCAGATACTTCCTCTGACATCAGAGCCAGCCAAATCAGGGTTGAAGCCATGCTAAAACTCCCAACACTGGAGAAGCCTGGGGGTTTTTTTGTTTGTTTTTGCTTCTGAGAGAGCTGATCAGGCAGTGTGACTGACATACATCCAATGAGGCCGACTCCAGCTGCCATAGAAGACAAGGAAAGGGATGCCAAGAGCCTGTGCTGTGCAGAGGAGAAGGACTTGACACTGATTTAACTTAATTGCAGTTTGCAATGACCTAGTTTGTGAAGGGACTTGGCATGGGACAAAGTTATATCTATACTTACATTCATACTGCTCCACTGTCATAGCATCCGCATAATCAGCTGGACTGGAACAACAGGTTGCTTTTTCTATGCAGCTGGTAAAGAATTCTCTCATGTCTTTCCCATATTACAGAAGAAATAATGACAGACAATGACCCTGCTAACTACACGTTAGAGTAATATTTTCAATGAAGTCTCTTGTGATAAAATCCAAAGGAAAGCAATTCTTTATCCAGAAGAGATACAGGGCATCCCTCTAAGGAAAAAAAAAACAAACAAACCAAAACCAAAAAAAATCCCACCCCACAAAAATCTCACTGAAACTGCGAGTAACTAGGTTTCTTAACAAGAAAGCCAGATTTTACTCAGAGAAAGACTTTAGTGCAGGAACTTTTTTGCAGACAGTGCACTGATGTAGTGGCCAACTGGGCAGCACTGAATGCCAAAGAAAAAGGAGAAGAGGTCTCAGCTATTGGTAGAAAAATGCCTCAGTTGGCGGTGACTAATCAAGGCACCATTACCTGTTACTGTGTGGGTGTGATACACTTTCAGACATTCAGACATTCCCTTTGAAATGTAAAGTGATGTTTTAAGCCAGATAGATGAACTCTGGCTCCTCTGAGCTGCTGCTCCTCTGGAAAAATAAATTAGGTGAAACAGGTAAAGGCACTCAATTTCTGGACATTTGACATAAAAGCATCCCAGAATTGTTAGTTAAACTCATAGAAGGATAACACTTTTGCAAGTTTATCCACTTAAACGTTTGACAGATTTGGGCACAGCAATGACACAAAAAGCTAGTTTATTCCATGTGGCTGCCAGTCTCCTTTCTGCTAACCTCTGTCTTGCATTTACAAACTCTCAACCATCTCAGTCACCTCACCACAATGTGCCAAATCTCCAGTAATAGAAAATAACTTTCGAAGAGCTCTTGCTCTCAACTTACTAAGTAAGCAATTCGACAACTACACCTAAAGCATGTGCATATGTGTGGGTGAGTTCATTAACATATATTAGAATTCTTCTCTGTCTAAAATAGCACACTGCTTGATGCAGAAAGCCTGCTTGTCACATTTGTCAATGAAGAGGAAGCAGCATGAGCATCGAGTTTCCTGTTCATACTTCAGCTGACAATAAACTGCCACAGGCTTCAGTGGGAGTATGTTGCAGCCCCACATATATCTGAATTGTTAAAATATAGATTCAGATTTACTTGGAGCTTGGCCCCAGCTGCAAGTCTCTTATGACATTAGTAGATAACGACAGAATCTCTTCTCTTCCAACTCACTGATTATCATTGCTGGGAGGATCCGAAGACAAAGCAGCAATTGTGAGAGTTACATAACCTCACCTAAAGCTCAGTGACACCAATAAGTGGTTTCCATTGCTTTAATGGAGTTTGGATCAGGCCTGAAGTATTTACTGGAAAACAACTGCACTATATGATCCACATCTGTGCACTCACTCCAAGTGGCTGTCAGCTAGCGTTATAGCACAGGGCTTCTCAGGCTGTGGAGTTACTGTGAAAGCTTCATGCTGTGGCCATGCAAATCAGCCCTGAGGACAAGTTAAAAGCTTGCACACCTGCCTAACTGTAACATGTACAAGAAGGAAACATTATGTCTAAGTAATTATGTTTAAGTAATAGAATCTTTGCACTTTGAGCTGAGAAAATGTCATTGTGCTCTAGTATAAAATGTGGATAAAAGTATAAAATTTTGACTAGAATCTTCTGCTCATTCTTGTGTTTGTGTTTTTTTTTTTTTAATTTATCTGAATTTTTATTTCTTTTTTTTTTAAATTTGACATTTGTGGCTTACATTTTAAATATTCCTTCTTTGGGAATGTTATGTTCTTGTAACCCACCTTTCTGCTGAGAGACTAGCAAATACTATAAATGTTACAACTAAGCCAGAAATAATTTTCACTCCTGACCTTTACTCTCCTTTGTGTTTATAAGGTTACATACAGAAATGCTTCATAATCTGAATGTTAGATAGACGTGCTTTGGAATGGAAAAGGTATGACAGACATACTTATTTCACTACTTCAGCACTACTATTAAGGTATACAGTAGTTTTTCCACTATTGTCAAAAGTAGTGTTTCAGATGCTTTCTTAAATCCTTGGACTTTTTTGATTACTTATTAGCATTCAATAATATGAGCATCTACTTTTTTATATGATTCATAGATGCTATCTTGCTGGATAAGAAAAAAGAACATGTGCCATTAATTTTCCTCTATTTAAGTTTCATTGTTCTTTAGGGACAATTTTATAATGGACTAAATATGTTATTATCATTGCATAGAGAAGGACACCTCTTTCCCTGGGAGATACTGAAACTCTGAACCTAGGCATCTGCATAGCTGCTACATTGGTTTGGAACAGTGAACCAACTGGAGGCAAGCTGATCAATGCAACTACTCCCTGTCCTCATTTAAGGGTTTAACTTATTGGTGCTTTCCATGCAGAATGGGGACAGTTCTGTGGATTCCTCCAGGCAGGACCTGCTGTGCCTAAACGAGTTTGTTTCTTTATGTTTCAAGGTGCTGATTAACATCTAGGGTAGAGACTCTGAGGCTACAAAATCAGTCCAATTCTGCATAGATTGTAGGTAGTCAGAGGAGACTTGCAAGTAGCCAGTCACTTGTATGCAGTCAGAAGAAACATCTTGCAGATGCAGAAATGACCACGTAGGACAGATTTGCGTACACAATTTAGGTGGGTAGAAGATGTTTTGCATGTAGCTCAGGATAATCGCTGGGGATGGACCATGTGTGTGCTGGAGCGGCCCCAAGGAGCATGAGACAGCTGGATGTAACTGCACAGTAACTCATGAGTCAGTCTCATCTGCTCCAGCCAACACCACCACTACGAGGACCTTTGCAACTGAAACTCCTCTTGCCAACTGGACACTGACTGACTGTCCTGTTCAAGGACTTGATTCCTCACAGTGATGCAATATTAGCAAAATCACACCCCGTTGACCACCCAAGAATCATCAGATTTAGCCCTTCCCTATCCATATGGACCAGAAAGTAATATTTTTTCTATTAAATTATGGCTACCCAAGCCCTCAGCAAGCAGACATGGGTGTCTTTGAGAGTGCTGTCATTACTTTGGGCAGTCAAACTGATAACTGAACACAGAGATAACATTTCATGTTATATCCAGCTATTGGCTAAAACTGTACCCAGGCTGAGTTCAAACAGAGCATGAGATGGTAGAGGTTGAAGTCCTTTGGTTAAAGGTATCTCACCTCATTCCATAAGGAGTCTAAAAGTACTTTTGGATTCCTTAGCAAACATGAACAAGATAGAGGTCTATCTCCAGTTTTCTAATCCTCTATGCTTTCTTCTCTAACCCATTTTCAAACAAGGCATGTAGCTGCTCCAGATGGTGGAGACAGAGAAGACAGATCCCAGGTCTCAAAGTGCAGGGAACATCCAGCACAGAGGGTTCTCATACAATTTGTTCATGCTCATAGCACCTTCTGAGAGGTTTGAAAATCTGAGAGGATAAAGGAGGTACAGGCTGTTTAGAGCAGTGAAATTTCCAGTTTGGTGTGAAGGAGATAACCTAGAGAGAGACAATATTTGATTGGCTTATTCTTTCTCAGTGAGGCAAATTTTAGGTTATGGACCTCTCTTGTAGCACAGCAACATAGTAAGGGAGTTAAAGGTAATAGGCAATTAAACACAAACAAGAGACCAGGGGGCATCCAAGGTTTTGGAATGCCAAGTGTATTAGTGGACAAAATGTCACAAAATAGGTTGCTGAAACTGTCCATCTGGGCTCAGAGGTAAGTTCTGCTGCTAGACCTTCCTCACTTACCTTGAAGCAGCAATATAACCTTGCCTCAGTCCTAATGAGGGAAAGCACTAGAGCTTAATGTGACTACTCAAGTGACTTAAAAACCCGCAGAAAACCAAAGAATCAAAACCCAAACAGAAGCAGAGCAGTGATTTGAGCTTGAACCTGAGGGGTGTTGATGTTCCTGAACTTGCAAGGACCTCAAGAACAGCATCTCATAGGTCTGTATCTCTAACTATTTAAATAAATGTATTTAGGAATCTAAACATAATTAAACTACCTTGGAAGAAATAAAAATATCCACCTCTAAAATTTATTTTATAGTTGAAACAAGAGTTCTCTCAAAGAATAAAAGCAAAATTGTTCAAAGAGAGCAGAAACAAGAACAATAGTTCATGCACACTGATACACATCGACTCTCTGCATTCCCTTAGTAAGATAGAAAAAGTCACTTTCAGTGATAAGGCAAAACTCTCATTGTAACCAACTGTTTAAATGCATTCAGGAAGCAGGAGGATTCTTTATTAAAAAAAAAATTCTACAGATTTTGAAGAAAGGAATTTCAGATAATTCAGAACACTTCTGCTTAGCACCATGTGGTGTTAAGTCCAACCCCAGATATGAAGTTACTTTTCCCTGCAGCATAAATATGAGTACCAGATCAGATCCTCAGCTGGTATCTGGTATAAATTCCCTTGTCTTCACTGACCATAGGGAAGTGATACAATTTTTCAGCAGCTGAAAAATGTTATTTTTCAGGCACGTACATGAAATTAGCATTAACGCACACTATATGTAATTAGCATTAATACTTCAAAATTGAATGAATAAAAACTAGGATAGAATTTCCTCTCACCACGACAAGATCTTGGCGTTCCAAAGAATACATCCTCTTTGTTGATGGACATACTTATATTTGATTGGCAAGAGAAAGGAAACAGAAGATACTTAATACTGGTCAATAAAAAATCCATTTAAAACTGAATACCCATTGCATGGCAGGTAAACTGAAAACCTTAGAAAGAACATTTCCATCTTGGTTTTTATCTCCAGAGTGTCAGCTGACCAAATAAGCAACTGTCCTGGGAGGCTGCTGTGACAACAAGTTATATTTACCAACTGCCACTTTCAAAGTGCACACTTGCTAATAAGGTGATAGAAGAATATTTGCACTCATGTTTACAAAAAAATGGAGCCAGGTAATTATTTCTTTTCTAACTGCATTATAAAGTTTCTCTAGAAGGAGAAATTTGTTCAATCACAGGTTGTTTCCCATTTCATTGCCATATTGACTAATAAACAGTCTCATGTCAGATTTGAGTGACTACCTGACAGCACCAGGTGTAAGAAGATGGTTGTACACATTGCTTTCCTCATGAATGCACTCATTTGTTCTACAGCCAAATAATTGCTTTGAACTCTCCCCCACTCTTGAATGCACTTAGTTTTATACACAATTCAGTTCTCAGGGCTCCTTGAGCTCCAGACTTGATTGCTGCAACTAATGTTTTACCTGCCCAGCTCCATACACACATTTCTCTGCAACACTGTACTACTGGTTTACATAAACAGAGATGGTTATTTAAGCATCACATTCAGGTTGTGGGAAGAGGTTTAGGCTACCTCTTAAACTCCTTATGAAATGCAGCAGCTGGCAGGGGGGGCACACCCATGTGCTTCTTCAGCTACTTCCCCACTCTACCATTTGTGGGTCTGCCGAAGGTATTCTCAGACAGGATAAGGAAAGAAAAGTTTTTAGCTAAATGAAAAGTATCAATATATGTCATTCCTTTAGCAGCTTTAAGGTGAACTATTAGATCAAAATGCTGTTGACAATTCAGACTTTTCATTATTAAAACAACCTGATCACCCACAATATCAGCCTAGAAAAAAAGGAAAGCTCTCTTGCAAAATTAGGGGTCACACTTTCACACACTTTGATTACAGCTGGCAATCCTTGGCCTAGTACTGTGGGATAATAAACTTTAAGGGATCACCAGTACCACATACTATAGCAGGAGGAGCTACAGGTGAATAATTCTTCAACTAATATATATTGCAAGTCTCATCACTGATGCAAAGAACACAGATACTAGATTTTCTAATTGGTTTTACACTTACTGCATGAGCCAGTCAGACCACCTGATGTCCCAAATTAACAAATGTAAAATTATATGAATAGAAGACCTTTTTACTAGGAGGTCTAGAAAAACCCTCTCCTTTTTGTCCTGTGCACCTGAAGTCTACTGGGGTAAAAAAAAATAACGACCTCAATTCCCACAGATCCACAAGTCAGTCAAGCAATTGTTCAAACTGTTGCTAGTGTGGCTTGTACTATAAGGAAGCAAGACATTTTGTTAATTCCTACAAATAATATTCACTGGAGTAATTGATAAATCTACTAGCCATTCCTGCACACAGCAAAACTCACAACAGTAATTCAAGCAGTTGACTGGCAAGGCTCATTATACAGCTATGGTGGTTTCACTAAGAAGTAGCAAAGTGTGATGGAAAACTTCCATGTCCCATAGTGACATTTTGGATATACTAGAAGTAGCAGAAAGACATCTATATGTATTAAACAAGGCTTTTCTGTTTGTGTCTCACTCATGGCTCTGTCATTAGCTCACTGCATCTCAGACAACTTGCTTCATCTCTATGACCTTTTTCCATACACCTTCCAAGATCATTATACTTCCCTGTGTACAGTCATACTCTGATAGCCTTAATACTTTTTAAGGTATTTTCCTTTGAAAATGAATCCTTAAATGACTTACATAAACTCAGTGTCTGTGCCTTTGCCTCTATTCCAGGCAAGGAGCAGCTTATGTAAGAGCAAAAGCAGCAGACAGGGAGCTGTATCACCATGCACAGCTGCAAAATTGCAGGGTTTGGGCTTCATTGGTTTACCTTTTCCTTTTTTTTTTCTTAAATTACATTTTTTTCTTTTTTTTTTTCTGAAAAGCAAAGAAATCCAGAAAGCCAGTGTCATCATCATGGCTGGGCTTCGCGAACGAAGATTTGGGAAGGGCACTACCCACATTTGTTACAAGTGCGTTGGTGGCTAAAGGCCAATTCGAGATAGACATGTCTGGTTGCAAAAGGCACAGCAGAAAGACTCCTTAGGTGGTACATTCTGCAAGGCACGATTCTTTCTGCATTGTCTTTTCTCCTCAAGGGTGACCCTGCTGCTTTCTCAAAAGCATCAGCAGCGTTATAGATGGTGTGTCTCCAGACCTCCCGATTTGAGGCCAGAGTAGACCAGTTATGGTGATCAATATGGCCAAGGCTGAGATGTTGTTTCAGGCAGCCCTTATATCTTCTCTTCAGGGCTCCTCTCTTGCAGCAGCCGGTGGCAAGTTCACCATAGAGCACAATCTTAGGGAGGCGGTGGTCCTTCATCCTGGAGACGTGCCCTACCCAGCGCAGCTGTGTTCTCAGCAACATGGCCTCAATATTTGTGATTGCTGCTTGTTCTAGAACAGACATATTGGTCACATAATCTGACCAGTGAATATCCATAAATATAGATAAGAAAATCTGACATTCTGCCTAAGAAAACTTAGGCAAAGACTACGTCTTACTGTGCATTCAGGCCTCATGTCTGGCATTACAAAAGTGTACAACAGATCCTCTTGCCATTATATTACACTGAGATTAGGTTGTGCCCAGGCTAACTTATTATTTATCTCTGAATGAAACAGAGGGCAATAGAACATCATAAGCTTCTACTGATCAGAAGTTCAACACATTTCCCAGTTCCCCTTTCTAAATTAACAACACAAACTCCTACAATTCTTCTGCACCAGTCATAGTTAGATGCTCTATGATTCAGAAGTGAAACAAAGCCATGATGATGCTGGGCAGTTTTTGTCATGCAGCTACTTACATATTCTTCCATGTCATTAAAGATGTCAAAGAAAATTCTGAAGAACCACCTAAAATGGTAACAATGGATCCAGAAAGATCTCTTGAATTAAGTCATGATGGAACAGGGCAGGGAGGAAGAGGGCATTCTTCCTATTTTCCCCATCTATACATTTCTCTTTGGGAAAAAGCAGACAACAGGAACAAAATTTTCTATTCAGATCACTATTAGTTCAATTGACATATGAATTAGAGATATGAATGAGTGACCTACCTACATAAAACATCTCAAAAGTAAGAGTGTATGGATTAGGCTATATAAACAGCACACCTGAATCCAAGTTACATTTTTCTAATCAATAATAATTGTTTACTGTTCAAAACAGCTTGAAATAGTGTTAGATACATTATTCTTCCAATAATGCTTTATTATACTATCACTTTCTAATTGAAATTGTGAAAAGGTTCTATTTAAAAAAGTATAGGTATCTGGAAGGAAATTAATAATAAAGAGTTTCATTCTATTCCTGTGAATCTGAAACTCTGAAGGAAAGAAATTTGAATCTACAAATTCATTCTACATTTCACATTTATTCTTCCACATTTTAAAACAAGAAATGTTGGGGGGTGGGAAGCTATGTTCTTTTTGTGTTTTTTGTATTTCTGGTCATTTAGGTATTGCTTGTCAGTTAGGTCTACAGAGTTTCAAAATGGTTTATAATTTCTATCTGTATATGGGTTACAATTTCTATCTGTATTGTTGTTCTTGTATTTTATTCCTCCTGAAAAACAGGTGCATCTTCTGCTCCCCATGTCATGTTTTTTTCTCTTGGGAGAGTAGGTGGTTCTCACAAATATAAAAACTGTTAAGCTCTATAAGAAAGAAATTCAGCATTAAAAAAATCCAGTAGCCAAAGTGCAGCAAAATGTAATGCTGCACTCTGCTAAAATAACCTCCTTTCTTCTCCTGACACTTCTATCGAGTACATGACAATGTCTGTACATTTCCCCTCAATTTACAACAACAGTATTTCCTAAACTTGGCTGAACATCTTAGAAAGGAAGGCAACTTTTAACCCCCCAGTATTCATTTCATTAGATTCAAGTCTGATACTAAATTATCAATTTAAAAAAGAACTCAAAATTGGTAGCAGCTAATTTTAATTCCCCTACAACCATCATGGCCTAAAAAGGTTTAGCAACCTGAAACAAACCTACACACAAAAGGATCTCGTGACATAGGAGGATGACTAGTTATGTATTCAAAAGTCAAATACAAATAAAATGAAGAAAGACATACTCATTTTTGTACAAGCTGGCATTTCATCTATAAAAGGCATCTGTCACTTACATATGGCACAACCCTCAGCATAACAGGGAGAGCATTATTAAGTGCTGTAGAGCAAATATGAAGCTCAAAGATAGGTCAGAAAGGGACAGGGACTTTAAGGGAACTTCATTTCATCAACACCAATTCTCTGCAATATCTGCAAAATGCAGACTCCAAAAAGGTTTCCTAGAACAGTGCTAAAAAACCAAACAGTGCATCCATCAAAAATTGTTTCACGCTGTCTTCAGTTGGGGGTCAACCAAAATACTGTAATTATTATCATCTATTTGTGTGTCTTCTCATATTCACAGAAGCACTTGATTCCTTCTTGAGAAAAAAATGTTTTTAAAAACTGTGGCAGTCAGGCCTACAATGGACAAGTGAGCACTGGCACTTCCCCCTTTGCTACAGCGGCAACCAGCAGGTTTGAGACATCCTCAATACTACTCAACAAAGACCAGATTTTCAGGAGAGCTCATGTGTCTCACTCAAGCACCATTAAGTCTGTGCATTGGCTAATCGAGTGCAAGAAAAAGATAAAAAAGAAATAAAAAAAGAGGCCCTAACTCCCTCTATTCTTTACCATTTTCTTTAGGATTGGCCTCAAAGTCAAAACCTCAGGAAATACTTTTCAACTCTTTGGCTTATACACCACTGTGCCAAGAGATCTTCGAGACCCCTCACTTGTATGTTTTGTTCTCTGCATCACCACTCCCTTCTCATTGTATTCCCACCCATGTGCAGAAATCATTAGCCCCTTGCCTTCCATCACAGCACTTAAACGAGTGAATCTTCCAGTGGATTCAACACTTAAGGGCTTCCATGGGGGAAAATGAGGTATTTAGCTTTTCAGTTCCTTTGGAGCTGTGGCCTTCAGCACTTCTTGGTAAGACTTCTAAAGCAAACAAAAGGAAAAAAAAAAAAAGAGAGATTTCTTACTTCCTCACTCTTTTGCTGTCTTGCAGCCCATGGGATCAGAGAGGACGGAGATGCGCAAACGGCAGATGTCTACGACCCAGGACACCCCAAGTGCTGCACAGGCTCAGCTCAGCACAGGAAATCGAGGGTCCAATGCCTGCTGCTTTTGTTGGTGCTGTTGCTGCAGCTGCTCATGGTAACCTCTCTCCTTAAAACCTCTGGGGAACAGAATTGCAGGGAAGGAACACATATCTAGTATAGAGGACAACATAAGCCAAACAAAACACTTGTGTAACTCTGCAAATCTGGGACTGGGAGAGATGACTGCGCACAACCTTCTACTTCAGTCTACTCTCTCTTTGCCCTGCCATTGAAATAACAGATTTTTAAAAAAATATTTGCACAGTATCTCTGTTGTATTTTTGTTGTCAATACTGTGCAATGGATGGCCTGTTTTGTGCAGGACTGGTTCTCCTCAGCATTGAGATTCACCAAGGCTTCCACTAAAAACTGAAAGCAATACCAGAATGTATCGCAGCTTTAGATTTAGGTTTGGGACTCAACAGCAGCACTGAGGGTGTTAAATGGAGTTAGTAGAAGGTGGAAGAATTTGTAGGTCAGAAAATGAATAACCAGGTGCCCAGCACTGTTCTTTTTCCCCCGAAGGCAACTGGATCTGTTGTCATTAATTAGTTCTGCCAACTCACGGCACCTGCAACTCATTTGAAGATAATCCTTGGGATCAGAGACTTAAACATTGTGGTACTTGCTGAAGATCAGGAGTTAAGCAGAAATAATTCTGAAGAACTCCCATTACACGGTGTTAAGGAAAAAAATCTATCAGGTAATCAAAGCAAAAAAGGAGAAGGAATCACTTGACTCCTTAAATTAATGATGTGTTCACTTTCACTTTCTCACCAGCTCCTCTAGATCCAAGTGATTTCATTCAAAACTGCAGTAAATCTTTCCATACTGTATCTGTATCTGTTTAGTGGATGAGACCAGAACTTACATTGAAATAAAGTCTTAAACAGCCATAGGAGTTCAACCAAAACACTGACAGGAGCAGAGTGCGTCTTATAAACTCACTATCCACCACTCGACCACTTCAGAACAAGCAAACCTGGCACTGAGGTGCCTTCTTCAAGGGAAGAAGTCATAAATAGACTTAGAGCCCATGCTAGGAATCTATTCCACCAATTTTCCAGCAGCACCTCGTGGCAAATGCTTTGGAGAACACCATTAGAAGGCAAGAGAAGAGCAGGCTGATTGTTTCTTTGGTATTGGTACTCAGCTCAGCAGAAGCCAAGACACCCAAAATTCTGCCCTCCCTAATTCAAACAGTGAGTATTTTGCAAGGATAAAAGGCTGCTTGGAGAGTTTTTTTGCAAAATGCCCAGTACACTGGCTTTGATCCTGAAAAGCTTTTCAGCAGGTGCTTAGAGGTAAACTGAGGTAGAATTTAAAGAGCTATTAAGTACTGTGCCTGTGCTGGATCAGAATTTGCTACCTTGCAGAATGACATCTATGTTAAAGTATCCCATACAAATTCCAGTGCCATCTCAACAGCTGTCCAGTGCAACTGCAAGTGGCTCAGTCCAGAGCTTCATTACACAAACATGTTTTTCCATAAAAGGAAAAAATAAGACACATCTAAGAGTACAAAAAAATTTGCATTTTACCTTTTAAATTGTTGATAAAGTGCTTTTTTTTGACATTTTACCTGATATTTTCCAGAATGCTCATTTTCTGTGCATGTCACTATTCAAACAATTCAAAGAAAGCAATTTACTCGATAGGGTGTGTGAAAGTACCCAAATTTCATGATGCTTAAAACTCCTATTTGCGTTTCAGAATCATCTGGGAAACCAACACAGGCTCTGAAACAGAGTAGCTTGTTTTAGCTTTAAAATAATGCCTGATTTTTATTTTTTTTTTGAGAACAGTTGTTTTCTAGTAGCAAGAAATGCAAAACAAACCGTAATTAAGCTATTTATATTCCCTATTCATAGACCCTTTCCTCAAAATAGCCCATGCACTTGGAACAGAAAAATTATGAATAAGAATAAAAATAACAGTCTACATGAGTCATGCAGCTGAGCTGCTGAACATCCAATATTCAGCATACTCTTAATAGTAGATTTAGAATGAAGTTAAATGAGTTTCTCAGCTGGATGCTCAGAGCCTATGTTCATTCCTACAGCCAAAACTCAAGCCTCCAGGCTGTTACTCTTCCAGATCCTGAGAGGATGTAGGGTTGCACTAGTCTCTTTATTGTTTACATTTATTGTTTACATTTCTAGGGAAAAAAACCTGCCTGCAAGTAATTTTCTGAGACATGGTGTGTTCTCTTAGGGAAGAGTTTGTTATTTCTTTTGTCTTTTTCCCCTTTTGTGCATTATCCTATGAAGACTGTAATCCTTTCTATTGGATCTGTTGGTTCCCCTAAATCCAAAAATAGCTATGACAAGAATATCACTTCTTGTCTGTGTGTGAGGAAGAATACATAATATATCACCATATATTCAAAAAAGGCCAGTAAAAAGGGTAGTAAATGCTTCAGACCTATATAACCCAAAAGAATAGAGAACTAGGTTTACTACTTACTTTTTTCTTTTTTTCTGGAAAGGTAAATTGAAATATTTCATTGGTTTGAATGTATGGTTCAGATGTTGCTGAAAAAAACTGTTTGCAATATCTGCTCTCCAATAGGAAACCTTTCCTACCTCTTCAATGCATGGACTGCCCCGGCAAAGAAAAAAGCAGGTCTCTGCAAATTATGGACTAAGAGTAGGCAAAGCAGGAGAAGGAGATACCTACTAAACAATAAAGCTGCAAAGAAGATTTAGCCAAGAGTTTAGAAAGCAAAAAGGGCAGAAAAATCAACCAGTTTAACACAAAATCTTATCAGAGATAAATGAGACTCTTAAGGATTAAGGTAACAAAACTTAGAACATCAGAATGGATGAAAGGTAAGATACAAATGAAGAAATTAAGTTTGATATTTATCAAATTATAACAACTGTGTTGCTTTATTTCAGCTGGAGAACCCATTTCATATAAATTACAGATTATAATTCACTGGGACCTTTTCTTCTTGACATATTTTAAGCAGCTTTACAGATTATATGAATGTCTGTGTATATGCACATGCATTTCTCACTAAGTTATGAAGACCTAGATATACTGGAATGTAGTCTCCATTCCCTAAAAACAAAACGTATTTTCTCAAATCCAGTTTCAAATGAAAAAGAATCATTTACAACTACAAAAGAAATTTTTATAAACTCAAGCCATCTAAGGCAACATTTGATGAAAATAGCATGATTTGACAGCTGTTCTTCCATGGGACGTCGCTAGTGATTGCAACAAACTTTTTTTTTTTTGGTAATGCTACAAACAAGTGCTTCCAGTCAGACATATTCAAAACAATATTCAGCAATGATAGATCCACTCTGTGCTCCAGGCCTCATTCACATTTGGAAGCATATACTAGAACTTTCTTAAAGCTGCAATCAATTACCACACAATCTGGCTACACCTACATCTTAACTCTGAAAGATCCTTACCTTTCCAACATCACATATGGAAGTCTCTAGCTTACTTAAAACTTATATGCAGTTTCTGAACTCTGGCTTTCTTGTAACATGGTATTACCACTCCAAACCAGAGTCTTGGCCCTCATTGTGCCCTATGGATATAAAAAAAATAGCCAAGGAGGAAAAAAAACCCCTAACTAAACAAATTCAAAAACACCTACCTTGGAATCTAACTCACATAAAACCAGTGCATCAAGTCTAACCTAAGTAAAAACAGTGCACTGAGCATACACAGTATAATAAGCATCAACAGAGAATAGATTTGATATGTAATAAAGGGTAGGCATGTATACATACATATCCCATATACATATATACTCGTGTATACACATATATAGGGAACTGGACCTGATGATTCTTATGGGTCCCTTACAATTTGAGATACTCTATGGATCTATGATCCCTCTGTAGAAAGTCTACGTGATACAATATCAAACAGCATTCAGCTTTATTCAAGTTTGCCAGGTTTATACAACTGTAAAATTAAGGTCAGAGTTTAACTATGCCAAATGTGGCTGTCATTAGCTTCTGTCCTTTTAGCTTTTTTATTTTTTTTTTTTTAATATCTATGTTCAGCCTTTTTCTCTACAAAGTTGTCTAAAATTTTGTTTGCTACCTTGCAGCCTTACTGTTAGAAATCAAGATGAAGAGAGAGCAAGGACAACATCTCACGAACTACAAGCAGAGGGTATTCCAAACTGCGAGGAAAGGTATGATCTTTATTAAGTGTTCTGTCAAGCTAAAATGAAACAAACCCAACAAACCACACTAAGTAATTTCAGTGAATTACCTGAAACATGAAAATAACTATTATCTACTAGTCATCTGGTTTTTTACCTCCAAAGGTCTGATCTATAATATTTTACCTTGTTTATATGCAGCATGTAACCACACGTAACTACTCTCATAACATGACAGATCAAAGCCAACATTGTAAACAGTCTCCCTTTTTTCTGAAATAATTTGAAAATACATCCTGTTCCCACCCTGCAACTATGTAATGAGGTTAACTAGCAGTGCTCAGCCTTACAAAAATAATAAATATAAAAAGGAGCTCAAATCCTCCCAAGAGTTAAGCAACAGTCTTCAGAATTGCTCCAACAGGTAAAAGCAATTGCAAAATCATAATATACAGGTGGGTACCTTTTATAGTGTTTGAATCATTGCTTCTTTATACAGATTTTCATTCCATTTTAAACAATTTTTAACAACAACAAGGATTATTAGGTACAGAAAAAAACGCTTAGCTGTTGCAGAGGTACTTTGTTGCAATTACTTTGAGCAGTAAACTGCAATTTCTGCATCAAAGCACTGGCAATCACCTGCATCAGAGCTTCTGATAAGCACAATTTCAAAAAATATCTTATAAATGTATTTACTAGAGTTTGCACTTGGATAGTTCCAGTGAGGAATCAGAGCCCCAAGAACCTTATGATTTTGTTCTATTATGATGGCACATACCTCCTCCCAACTGCAAACAGCTTGAGTAACAATCACTTATTTCTCTCTTCTTGTGCTCTTCTTCCTCCTCAAGCCCTGCTCCTACTCTTGAAGAAGTAAATGCCTGGGCTCAGTCATTTGACAAGTTGATGCTTACACCAGCTGGCAGAAATGCTTTTCGTGAATTCCTAAGAACAGAATTCAGCGAGGAAAACATGCTTTTCTGGATGGCCTGTGAGGAACTAAAGCAAGAATCCAACAAAAGTGCCATTGAAGAAAAAGCAAGACTAATTTATGAAGATTATATTTCTATCCTTTCTCCAAAAGAGGTATATTACTTTTCCTAATACTTTCTTTGATGTTGCTTTGCACAGAAGTTCTAACTTGTTTAAGGCTACACCAGTACTCAGGGAGAATTTTTTTCACACCCCCCAAGTCCACTTCCATCAAGCAGAGATTTAGGGGAAGGAGGCACCCATCACTGAGGTGAAATGGTCAAAACTACTTTCACTGGTTGTAAGAAAGTGTGCCCGATGCTACCATGGCATGCTGACATGGAATTTTTAGTTTGAGGCACAAATACACAAATGATTGTGTTATCCTTGCTAAACTTAAATTTTATCTGTTGGACAAAGTTTCTTTTCTTGTTGCACTAGGAAGGTGGTGTACACATCTCTCCAAAAGCACATTAACCACAAAGAAAGTGTTATTTGCAAATCGCTGGAAGAGCAGCTGACAAAACATGCCATAGAACAAACACAACAACTTCCTGAAAATTTTTAAAACTACTTGTCACTTCGCTGTTAGCAAATATGTCAAGCTTAAAAGACACCTCTGTTCAGTTTGAACTGCCAAGCAGGCTGGAATTTTAAACCTTTCAATATCCTTGTAAAACTGCAACTTAATTTGTTGTGGTGCAAGCTATACTTACATACTTACAAAAATACTGTTTAAACCTAATCAGTCTATTCTCATAATACTAAAGTCTTTCTACAGACACTACAGCCTTGTAGAAAGAAAAAATTACATTACTTGCATGTTGTATGGAATTATTATATAACCATACCTGTGGTTCACATCGATTCACCCTGCTTTTTAACAGGAATTTGATTAAGCAACAGCTTCCCAGGTTACATTTTCCGACTGCGTCATACTGCTTACTTCAAATTCAGTCTCTTTACAACAGCACTAACTCTCCAGGAAATGAACCATCACAAAAAATTACAAATCCTCTCTACCACAGAGCAGGAAGTTGGTCTGGAAATAACCCACCGGTCTCTGAGACTTCAGTAATAATGGGATTGCAGGCAGCCTTGTTCAAGTAAGGTACTTCAGTGAAGACATTTCTGTATCCATAGTCAAGATATTACTACTTCCAAATTTTAACACAGTCAATTTTGCCTAAGTATATTTATCAGTTTTTACACTCTTGGAGGACACCAGCTGAAATGGTTAAAAAAGATCGCTTTTTCAACCTATAAAAGAAACCTAAAACCCCATCTGTACTATTCACCACTATTATTTACATGACTTTCTATTTTAATACACAGGTCAGCCTGGACTCGAGAGTAAGAGAAGTGATTAACCGAAATATGCTGGAACCCTCACAACACACCTTTGATGACGCACAGCTTCAAATCTATACCTTAATGCACAGAGACTCTTACCCACGGTTTATGAACTCTGCTATTTATAAGGACTTGCTTCGGTCCTTATCTGAAAAACCCGTTGAAGCATAGAATTTATTCTTAAATGTATTTGTTTTAAAACAAATGGAACTCTGGGCTACAGAAATCCACAGGGAATTTAGAATTAATCAGATATCCACCTGAAAATAACTCAGGCAAGTTTTACTACAGACTGAATTATTTAAATCCGCACTGACAGGCTATGTCACAATCAGCTAAATATGGTTTCTGATCAAATTCAGTGTTATTTTCCAAAAGGGAATGAACATAATGAAGAGAAAATGTTGTTCAAAAATGCAGTATTTTTTCAAACACAGCACACAACTCGGAAGCAAAATTGTTACAATGTGTGTCTGAGGTACAAATGCCAACTGAGCATGAAAACTAAAATTAATTTTTAGTGGAGTGTTAGAATTGTCTTGAAAACCAAATCAGTTGTCCCATCCACACTGTGACCCAAGTTAAAAATATTACTGTCTATACTGTGGTACTTACTCCAGGCAATGCCATCATACCTGGCATAGGTACACTCCACTTGTTTTGGTACAAATAATATGTACATGGTGTGCTAACGGAAATCAGCACGGCAATCTCAAGTTTACGAAAGTTGCTGGTTGAAATAATGCTGCCTATAAAAAAAAAAAATCTTTTGCTGAAGAGTTATTATTTTACTACTAAAATCTGCTGAAAGCATTAAGTTCCTATTGTTGATGTTTATAAAGTTAAATTATTTACTTCAGAGGAAGACGTGTCTGGGCATTCAAATTCCAAAATAAAGCACAAGAATTGTCACATATTCTTCTTTTCCCTCAGTAGGTATATGTAAAATCCTTCACTACTCACTCCCAAGAGGATGGCAGTATCAGCCATCTTGGTTTTGTACATATTAAACTCCCCCATTACCTGACAGATCTTGTAAGGTTTCTACTACAGACACACACACAATTTAATTAATAAAAGTAGGAAGCTTGAACTGTTGTGTTCTGACACAGCACTATTTCAGACTGTCTGACAGCACCAGCTCTATCCAGTAATAAACCATGTTTATTTACTGGTATCCCCAAAGCATTACACTTGATTTCTCATCATATCTCCAAACCATTAATCACAGGAAATACCAGGAAGAAAGTAAGTTGAATCCACATAACCTATGTGTAGGTCTGTAATTCTAATATCTTCTTTCTTTTAAACTACAGGATTCACTACAATTCCACTATATTAAACTCCGGAGTTTATAGTGGATTTCCATTGAATTGTATTTTTTCCTGTCTATTTATTTAAATGAACCAAATGGCACATATAGTTATGAAATTATACATGGGAAACAGAATGAAAAAAAAATACCCCTAGAAAAGGAGAACCAGACAGGTATATTTCAATGATGTGTACTGTAGCCTTTCCAAAACCTACTCTTTGCCTAATTCCAGCACTACGGGAAGTACAAAATGGGGACTTCCTCTAAAAAAAGGAAATGGGAATAACACAACAGAACTTGAGAGATCAATTTAATTGTTTCCTCAATACCCTTGGCAGGAGACATATTCTCCTCTTACTGCATCTGCATTATTAAACAAATTAATGATGAGATATTTCATTACATAGTACCACAGGAGAAGACCCAATACATGGTAAGTTAACAATACTATGGACCAGTTCAAGGCCAGGTTGGATGGGGCACTGAGCAACCTGGTCCAGTGGGAGGTATCCCTGCCCATGGCAGGGGGTTGGTACTGGGTTAAGTTCCATTACCACCCAAATCAGTCTATTAATCCATGACTAGTTTTCATCATCTCCTTCCAACAATATAACACTATTTAATATGTCAGCACAAAAAAGTAAACAAAAAAAACCTCTAGAGAGAGGAAATCAAAGTGGTTTTGCCCTCTGTAGCACAATGCTCGATGACTAAGCTAAGAGGAAATCCTTCCATATATAGCAAGTCAAGACACAATTCAGTTAATGTTTGCCACTGCTTAACCTTTCAACACTGGTTATCTCAGCTGAATTTCTATTAAACACACCCAAAGTACTATCAATACAATTTCATTTTACATGAAGTATTACATGAAAAGTAGTAACTTCAATAAAACAAACTAGATCTCTTCATAAGGCAGTATTCATGGGGAGCTTACAGTTGAACTGACAATGCTGTACTTCTTTTAATCAGGGCGGGTAAGAGTGCTCTAAAACTCTTAAGCTGACAAATTAAGTTTAACTAGGTCAAATTTCTTGTTGGAAAGATCATATGTCTAGATGACAAAAACTTCAAAGCATGTCATCTCATGAAATGGAGGATTTAATTTCTTTTAAGTTACTTCTCTTCCCTGCAAAGATACTTCATTAAAAGCTGAAAGAAAAACCAAACACTCACACTTCATATCAAACAGTAAATTCTATTATTCTGTAAGAAAAAGAAATTAAAAAAATGCAATGAAATCAGAGGAGAGAGAAACCTATAATGGTTTGGGCAGTTCTTTGGTTAAAATTAAATTATTAAAATAAGAAAGTAGTAATTTCTAAGCTTACTTTTCATGTGCCACAACTTCTAAGCAATTAAAATTCTCCAGACAATTTTCATTTTAGTTCTGCATTACAATATGTTGACATTTGCAATGTGTTTTTCCTGAAATATCTTAACAAATTTTAATGCTGTGTTTTAGGCTTAAGCTTGCACCTGACACCAATGGCAGAATGCAGATTCCTAGATATCCTGAGAGTATTTCTTAAAAACCCAAACAACCCACTCCCCTAAATATCTTGCTATTTTGAAGCTGGTTAATGTTGGATTTAATTGAAGTAAGTCACGGAGGGTGGGAGAAGGAGGGGGAAGAGAAAAACAAAAAACCCATCCACAGAAGACAGGTTTTTAACTACATTTCATGCCTATATACTTGCTCATGATGCATAAAGTTCTCAGGGCAAAAGCGAGGTGCACAGAAAAGAAGTCACCATAGACAAGCTGTTACATGAATAGCAGGAGAAAATAATCATATTGACATATTATTTATAATTAATCAAGAAATTATCACAAAATCAATTTATCCTAGCTTGAAAATGAGCACGTTTGGTTTGCCTTGGCATTTATCTAACTGCAGGATGTCATTAAGCTCCAACAACTTTCCAGTCCACTGGCATTCTTCCTTCAATGTCTGCACATCATAAAGCAGTAACTCCCACAGAACATGCATACTGTTAAAGATTGCTCTTTTTCACTAGCCTGCTAAGCACTATTAAAATTGCATGGGCTTCTTCAGCCAACATATTGTGCTTTACAGTGACCTTTAAATTCCAAAGTCATTAGCACAATATAAACGAAGGAAAAAAACCCCCATATATGTAGGTACTCTGAAAGGCTTTACTATATAAAAGTTAAGATTAAAATTTATCACACAAGCATCATGTACTTATGCAGTTTCTTATTACAAAGCATATCTGAAAAAAAAGAAAATGATGAGAAAGACTCCCACAATGTGAAGTAAATTTTTAACAACTTTGCTCTAAGCAGTACTTAGGAGCATGTGTCTTCTGCCATAAAAGGTATGAGTATTGTTTCAATGACACTGATGGAAGATTTGCTATACTAATGTAACTAAATTAATCCCAAACCCTTTAAAACAGTAAAGCAATTCATGATTAGTGATGATCTATCGAAAGAGAAGTTAATATACAGCTGTAAGAAATTGTACTTAAAGGGTGAAACTCCTCAGGTTGTTTATACGACTGACTATTATTTCAAGATCTATTTCCAAAGGCATGTGCTTGAAAGGTAATATAACCACATTTTGCAGAACAAAGACTTCATGTTTATGATTTTCAGTTTTGCCCAGGTTAGTACGGGTTGCAAGTTTCGATTTAAAATTCACATATGTGACCACAAAGTGGAATCCTGCACTCTGGATAAAAACTAGATACTTCCTTTGCAAGGCCTGGAAAGTGCAGTAGGGCTGCAGCATGGGATTCACAAAAGCCAAGATCACTGACCAGATACTTACCTTCTACTTAGTGGTAGTCAAAAAGAACTATTCAGTATAAGGTATTTTAAAACCCATACTTTCTCCTGAACGAGATAACAGAATATATAAGGAAATGTCTTAGATACGAGGAAATGTCTTGTAATGAGGGATACCGAAGTTGTGTTTTCTGAGCAGAATCCTCTAGCCTTGCTTACAGAAGAAAGATTGGAACCACACACACACACTCTTTAAAAGCAATGTGGCCCCCTCTTTCTCTCTACTAGATTAGTGTAAAAACCATTTTAAATTATAGGGTAACTGTTTCATCTGAGAGAAATCAAGTGTCGATAAAGATAATGACAAACGTGCTATTCTCAGGTGGGAGAGATTCATCACCAGTTCTGCCAGTATGTTTTCACTGCATAAAATATCTGAATGTACTGGGTCAGTCATGGCACAACTGCAGCTCAGCAGACAAGCCAGCCAGCTGGATAAAAGAGACAGCCCTAATCCCATCTCTGCATCCTTCTCCTATACATCCTTCAGACTTTGCACCCTCTGATAGAGGAGGGCAACTTCAGACAGCTGAGAAAACTGCTGAACAGAGGTGCATCCAAAGCTCACTTTTAGAGAGTTTTAATTTTGGATTTAGGTAATCAAAATAAAGCATGAACAGAATACATGTATTGTTGGATCTAGTTCTTAGAATTCGTCTTCTGCTGGGCAAAAGAAACTGTTCTATTTACCTTGGGGACAGAAGAGGGAAGGGTGAAGGCTGCTGCTCAGCCATAAACTAAAATGTGGTTTCATGTAATACTATTTCAACTCCTACTTGGACACACCTACATCACAGAAAGCGCTACCACAGTTCTAGTTATTCTAATAAAGTCCAGATATGACTTGGTGAGTACAGAAAGACAATTATTGTATTTTCTCAAGAGATAATTTTCGTAAGTGTCACAATGAGGCATAAAGATTAAAGGACACGTAGCGTGAGGAAGGTTATGCAAACCAACTTGTGCCTGCCCTGTGTTGTGAACAGTTGTGAAAATTCAGGTCTACTTGGCATCCAATTTGCAATCATTTTTAACACGATTTTTTGGACTTGTTCCTCTAGAAAGGTCCCCAAACAAAGCACTCTAACTGACAGTAAATGTCTGTCATTAGTTTGTAGTCTTTAACAACTTAAAAAAAAAAAAAGGCAATTGTGCATCTTTAAGTAACTCTTAGGCAGTAATCCTGCCAAAGGACCTACACATAGGCTTAAAAACAAACTCATGCTCTTAGTAGAAAAAAAGAATGCTTTCTGAAGGGTATTAATTTAAGTTGAGCTAAAATGTTTATATATAAAAAACTATGCAAGAAACTTTAAATGCTGAGCAATGTTCTGGCTGGAAAAAGGTTTATAACAAAACTTTTTCTATTTTAATAGTTTTTCCCCTCAGCAGAAAAGTCATGTTTCCTTCCTTGCACAGGTTAACTGGAAAAGCCTGCTCTATAAAGTATTTGCCAAACAGTTCTTGTCTGACAAAGCTCAAGTGTCATCATACTATTTCCGACTGCCACCATCACACAAAAAACATTCAACATAGAGAATCTTGTTTTTCCTTTACAGTCATGGAATTTATTCTCCAGCAACCTCAAATACTCTTCCCAACCCCCCATGAATACTTAATACGTTGCCAGAATAGATCTCCTCAAGCCCCAGGCTTCTATAAATTAAGTAATATAAAATTAGTACTTAAAGTCATGTTGTCATGTTTTTCCTTGAAAACACATTTGAAAATACTTCTAAGCATGTACACTGTTGAAAACCAAACTCTAAAAAAGCAGTATTTATACCATTCCACATATGGAAAAGACTGTAACTTCAATAATTTTTTTCCACCTGCAGGTCTGTGATTGACATCAGATACCCTATAATTCAAAATTCAGTTCAAGAACAAAATCAATGTCATTTATATGAAGGGAATATAGTATTACCTCCCCAGCCAGTTTATAATGTAATGAATTGGTTAGCTGGTGTTATTAGGGCAGCCCACAACACAATGCCTCTGCTCATTTACAAAGTCTAAACCCAATTTGGTTGTCAAGCACATTAAGCAAGACTGAATACTCAAATCAGATTTAACTATTTTAAGGCATTCCTGGAAATAAAACCTACTGATAGAATGTAAAATACATGCTTTGGGCAATAAAATATATTGCATCGATCGAAGCTGGTTATATAAACAAGCTTAACCCACCACTGCAAAAGAGGTCATCATATCCACTAATAAATTTTCAAACCCTATGACCCAAATTTAGTCCTAGTCCAGAAACAGTACACAACAAGCTAGAGAGTTAACTGAACTGTGATTTAGCTAACAACGGAGTTTATGTAATGAGGAACTGATATATCTTTTCTCTTTGCAAAGCTAGTGAACACAGCAGCAAGAAAGAAATTCCATTCTTATAACTGAACAAATGTGGAAAGGTAAAAATACACATGGGAGGAGCGTGTATATTTCAGAACACAAAAATACAGAACATTATTCACATAGTTAGAAAAAAACCCAAGACAATTACCAAAATATTTAATTGGTAAAAGTTTAATGTCAACTTACTTATAAAAATGAAAAAATATTTTAAAATTCACCATACAATTGAGCAACCTGGCCCTACTGACTATCAGCTATAGGAAGGCATTTAAGGAAATGATGGTTGTGTCAAAACAAAGGCTAATTTCAGGCATGTATGTTGCTTTAAAGAAAAAAAAAAAAGAAAGAAAACCAAAAACCCCTCTCATTTGCAGGAAGCTAAAAGCTTAGCCTAGTTTTTAAAGCTAATTACAAAATCCTCTTTCATACTGGTCCAGATGTCTTGACAATTTCTTCTTCTAACAGAACTGTCAAAAGAAAAGAATTTTTTATGAGATCCTTATACAGCTTAGTTCTACATCTTTGCAAGAAGAAACAGACATATGACACCATACTTAGGATATGGAAATTACTAGTTACAGTATTTGCTTATATCGAAACCATTCCTTCACTCAGGCATCTGTATAGGGACACTTCTCTAACTGCCACATTACAGAAGGTTTTAAGGACAAATGAACTTTTCCAGGTACTGCATTAAATAATTTCTAAGATTTACATATTATTTGGATATCTTGGAATACAGATTTGAACAATATCCTGTAATAAGATATGTAAAACAAGATGTATAAAGTATTTTTTTTATGTGGCAATCTTAAAGTATGCTGTGCCATGGCTCTGCAGAGCTGCAGCATTCTTAACCCAGAAAAATAACAGAATGAGGGTATCATGCTTCCCATTGCATGCTATCACATCTTAAATTGTAAATATTACAGGCCTTCATTTCAATGTTTCTCCACTCCACTGGACTACCAGTGTTCCTCAGAAGCTTTTTAAATTCCCATTTCCTGAACTCAAAAAAAATTAAATCAAGTTATCACTGCCCTACACTTATGACGACACAGGAATATAGTAGCAGTCAATTCTCTTTATTATCCCCCCTCTTTAGAGTAGCAAAAAACGGAGACAACGATAACAACAAAAAGTCTAAAAAGGCCTATTCCACTCATCAATGTGGAGATTAAAGCCAGATCGATCATCTTTGGGCAAAGAAAGAGAAAACTAACACAGTGACTGACTAACTTGTCACTACTTTGTATGGCAAATGTTGCAAGGGCTAGGTCAACATCCTGACTTCTTTCCCCCTTTGCAACTGCCTTACTTGTGTGATCTCACAACTTCAGTCAAAAATACATTTTTAATTCAAAGGTATTTCGGAATATTAACATGGAATATCATTAATGGGCTAAGAAATAACTAAAAGTCAACAGAAAGTCATTTGTCTCATTTACTGTAAACCAAAATTAACCACAGAGCCTGGCTGCCTGCAATCAAATATGCAGAGCAGTCTAACAGTCTTACCTTCCATCTGTTTCCACATTCATTACAGACAACAAACGTTGTCATGGGTTCATCAGCACTGCGGGTTTGAACCTTTGGCAAAGGCAAGAGACAGAGTGGAAAAAGAAAATTAGTATCTTCAATTTTTGTTAGTGTGTGTTCATGTAAGTGTTTAAATCAAAGTTTAATATTAAGGAAGCAAATTTCAATCAAAATACAAGTGAACTTTACTCAACAATGGAAACTGGGTTTTTTCCTAACTATAAAGCCATCATAAATTTAGATTTTGACAGATTTAGTAGCACTAAAATACCATTTTCGGCGTTGAAACAGTGCACTTATTTCTAGGACAAGATTCTGCACTTCAGAAGGCTACATGTTCAGTACAGCTTTACATATATTTACCAATGTAAAGGCTTAAAAGTCTCATGATTGAAAAATAGCTTTCTACTTAAAGCATCTGATACACAAAATTAAATTATAAGTGCAGTTGATCCTAAGATGAAAACTACATTCCCTGAAGCACCGTTTAAATAATTAAAGCCCTTCTTCTTGCAGTTGTAGGAAAGACTGTAAACCAGGGCCTAGGGTTAGTCGAATAGTACAATAAAGATACATGTGTGTATATACATATATATAATTTTCTTCTGTTTAGTCCTTCAGTACAAAAAAGTTTATGTACATTAAAACCAGTATGTTATCTCTCCTCCACACAAAAACATATTAATAAGATGTGATAAAAAGAGTTAGCAAAAACTCAGCATTGCAAAGAAACTGAAGCTCCAGCCTATACAGATACTCAGCTTGGGTTTACATAAAATCTTTGGCAAATAAATACAACACACAGTCTTTGTGTAAGCACACCTAAGTGCATCCACCTACCTTCACATTTTGTAATTTGTCAGCATTTTGTTAAAAGTTCATTTTGTAATTCCAATTTTTTTTCTCTGACAATCTTTATATAGGACTTAAGCTTTGAAAAAGGAAAACGAAGAGTCTGAACAACCACGCACCTGGGTGTATGTACAGTTCTTCTTTTTGCACTTGCCACATGTAAACAGATCAGTTTGGGTACCCCCTGTTTTAGCCATCTGGTGCTCTCTGATAGCTTCTTTGGTCAGATTTTTGCGCATTTCTTTCAGTTCATCACTTGCCATTTCCTGTTAAGGACAAAGAGCAGACAGAGTTTACTAGAGAGTTTTTGCTTGAAAACAAGTTACAACTGTGTGAGCCAATACCCTTTTTTATTTAGAATCCATGAGCAACAACTCTACTGAAAGGCACTGAATTTCTACACATTTTTAATTTTACAAGATTTCAGTTGAGATATCTCACAGCACGGAAGCTACAAAAGTTAAAAATGTTCTTTTTTTTTTTAAACGTAGATGGGGAAAAAAAAGATCTCTAAAAGTTACAACGTCAAACATCTAGAAACATTTCTAGGCAAATGCATTTAATATAAGATAGACAAGGGAGAGGACTTTAAAGTTCTCCAGAGGGGTAAAAAAGATCCTCTCCCTAGGTTAGATCCTTGGATAATTATCTCATTGACCTACATAGGACTATTACAGGAAAAAATTTACACTTTGCATATTTGCATATTTGTACTGAAAAATACAGTACAGCCATAATTTACCATATGCAACCAGAAACCATATACACTTCGCTTCAAAACACTAACCAAGGAGCTCAGAATCACCAATTTTCTATGTCCTTTCAAACAGTTCTAGTGTGCAGGATCTCCACAACGTCTAGTAATCTAGAAAACTATTTGTTTCATTTTTCTTCAATACAGTTTTACTCCACATCCCACACAGATGTGGAATGCAAATCTTGTATTAACACTGTTTCACTTCAGAATTAATCTTAACATTAAAGGGTTTTTTAGCCTTTAACATTTTAATCCAAGACATTAATTAAACAAACAATAGGCACTGGACAACACAAAATATATGTTTGTGCATCCATACAAAAACATGTGGGGGAAAAAATACCCTCCAGAACACATACTGAAGGTACAATTTCTTTTTTTTTATACATTCTTTTACCAGTCTGTTTGCCCAAACCTTTATGTAAAGCTACAGCAAAATAATCCCAACCAAACAAAAAAAACCATCACAAAAAAATTTTCTTTTGGAATAATCATGATTTTCATTAGTTGATCATAAATTTAACATCTTTCAGTCTCCTTTGTACCTGATTTGGGGGGGTAGAATCTAACATATAGAAGCAGAACTACAAAACTGAAACAAGATGTTAACTGTGCTTCCATTTTTCTCTCCCATAAAATCAAATTTTTCATTTGACTTTCCAGATTTATTCTGATTTGCAAAGACAGTGATGATCTGAATGGGAAATTTTATTCAAGTGTCCAAAATGTTCTTTAAATTCAATTTGATTTAAAGGGCAATTTTCCTAACTTCTCCTCTGTCATTTATGGTTTTTTTTATTTATCAGTAAGAGTTTCCTTCAAGATCACTTGGAGTATTCAAGATACATATAAGTTTTAAATAAATACTGCAAATGACAACAGAAGAGGGGACAGATCCTTAAATCCACAAAGCGATACCTCGCATAGGAGTGTAACTGCAGAGGTCAGCATTTGAAAAACAAATGGCAAGACAGACTAACAAATATCCAGAAACATGAATGGACAAGCAGCTTGGAGTCACTAGCCAGTCATATTTACAATCTTCCTAAACTTAAAACACTATTACCAGTATATCACGTGGCCTTTTAAAAACATGCCATGTTTCGAGATAGCAACAGCTTACCCGCCTTCTGACTTACAGCCAAAAGTCAGACATTTAGGATCCAATAACACACATCACTTTCATGGCCTCTGCCTCAACAAAGCCCTGTAATTTAGGCTGTGCAAGCCACAAACAAGCCACAGTCTTTCAGAAGTGTGGGCAGCTTACATAAATTACTTTTGTGGCTAGTAAATACAAGCCAGGATGTCAGTCCAATAGGGAGATAGTTCAAGACTATGTTTTACTTACCTCTGCTGTCATTTTGGCAAACTTGTCAGGAGGAATGTTTCCACATAATACATTTTTCCTTAGATTAGGGTTCTTTGCATCCTTGAGATTTGCTATTCTACTTCGTACTCTATTTTTGTATTTCATATCAGTGTTTTTTAATTCTTGAAAAATAGGTGCTTTGTATTTAAGGAGCAAAACATTAACAAGTAAAACAGAGCACTATAAAGGATTCATTTTGGGGGGCAACTTTTCTAAAGCAATGTACTTCTTTGCTTTTGACCAAGTCCCCAGCCAGCAGTCACTTTCCTGTTCAACACAGCAGACTTCATGTCCTTCTGAAGCCTAATCGCAGTTAAACACATGAACCATGAATTTTTGGGTTGTAGGTTCTCAACTGAAATTGTGAAAAGTCACCCATAAGCTTATGGCCAGGTTCTTGGACCTCATACTAAGAATTAATTAATTTCCAAAACAAATAGTCAAACAATGACAGATCAGTGACTTTTTTTTTTTTAAGAAAAAAAGAAGGCCAGACCTCTGTTCTAGAACTATTCAAACATTGCTACCAGAACCTCCCTTTCAAAAACTCAAAATTCATTTAGAAATAATCTTGTAGAAAATTACAAAAAGACATTAGAAAAAGATAAAGACTGTTAACAAGAAAAGGTTTTTAAATAACACAGAAGAGCCCAGCATTTTATGTAAGAATGCTTCAGAAGGACATAAGATTGCTGCTGCAAGGAAAATATACTGAGCTGAAACCCCCCCCACACACTCACCTACACGCATTGCTACATGTTTAAAGGCAAATCATTTCAGTTGGACTCTTTTTTTAAACACTAAATTTATGTACTGATGTGTTGAACAGAGTTTGCTATTTTTCTTTTACATGAAATTTACAAATATTCAATATGTAGATCAAGTTAATTAATTTTTAAATTATCAGTGCTTTTAAAAAATATTCCTGTTCTAGGGCACACAGATATTCGACAAAGGATATCTTCTTCAATCTGAGAACCCAGCTCTTCTTCATCAGCACCAATAGCAATATAATCATCTGAGGAAAACAAATACTAAAATATTAGCAAACTGAAATTCTCAGTGTTCTCTGTCCCTGAGAGCCCATTCAGCACTCTGAAGCTCAGCAAATTATGAAACACCTGCAGTAAGTCTTCCTTTTGTGTAGGTAAGTTTTATTTACTGCATACTTATCCTTTCAAAACTTACTAATTGGAAGAACAAGAATAAGTGAAATGAAGCACAACAGAAGTTTAAAGAAATTTAAAACCTTTCATAAAACCAAAAATTCTGACATCCAGTAACAAACACAAGTAGAAACAAAAAAATTGCAATACAGAAATATTTAAAACATTCTATTAGGCTTGGCAAATACCCATCTCCACAGCATATCTGTGCACAGAATAAACTATTATAAAAAGGAAACATTTTATATTGTGTTTAGTCAATTGTTTCAGTCCACACAATACAAGAATAAGCAAATAAATGTTCTGCATGCAAGCAAGAGGAAGATTTTATTAGAAACATAGTAATTAAGTAACAGAAACAGTATTATTAGATTTTTTTTAAAAGTTCAAAGCAGAAATGTGTCATAAAACATGTAAATTAGAAGAGATGGACCACGGCAGTCTTGAAGACAATGCAACACTTGAACTACAATTTCTGAAGATAACTGTTTACTGTTTCTGACCAAAACTCTTTACTCACAAAGACAGCTGCTTTTCCATGATAGCTGAAGGGTAAATTAGATACAGTGTTTTACCCTCATTTCAACATGGGTGTACTTCAATGAGCAATTCAAACACCATTTCTCCTTAGATCTCATGCCAAAGGCCGTAAAACCAGAAAACAACCTTATTTTTTGACCATGGATCATCAGTTTATATGTGCTGTACAAAGCAACTCATCAAAAAGGGTTCTTGGAAAACTAGCTAAAATTAAGAATACATAGAATTATAAATACTAAGATGCTACACGGAACTTTCTGGTCATAAATTGCTTTAGAAGTCTATGACCCACAGATCCAGAGGACCACAAATTCATGGTATTTAATCAGCTTTCATTGTTGTCTGTATCTGAATTCATATGAATTAAAAGAAAGAATAAAAGAGTGAAAGGGGTAAACATAGATGATTCAGAAGCCTATTTACACTGGGTCAAGTTACACCCAAAGAAGAGAGAAACAGGAGCTGAGTCATAAGTTTGGTAGAAGAGTATGACCCACTAGAAAAAAATTAGGTAATTCTGAGAAGTCCAGCTTTCAGTTTGTTCCTTATCTAGTATATCATTCAATTTGTCAGTGTAAACACGCTCAAGTGTACGAGAGGTGAAAAAAAACCTCAAACCAAAACAGTTAAGGAATTTACAGATGCCCAAAAGGCATGAAGAGCAATACAAGACTCTCTTATTCCAAGTATCTTAATGAAACATCAAGAATAAATTAATATAGAAAGGCAGTGTACAAAAATCAAAATCTGAAGGTCCCCAGGACCTCTAGTTTAAGAAAGGCAGTCATGTATATAGTGGCACTCTCTCAGTCAGAAAGACTGAGTTACAAAAAAAATAGTAGCTTCTGCAAAAATATTTAAATAAGGCATTAAAGGAGGCAAAAACCTTCCTGAAAAGAAGTTGCCCTGTCAGAAAGTTATCAGATGAACTGAGCCACAAAATGTCCCATGTTACCAGCAACAAAAATGTATTTTGATACATTTCCATGCTACCAAGGTTACTCACTACTTGCAACTGGTAGAACTGGCCTACGGATATAAACAAACGAACAGACACAAAAAGGGTTTATTCTACCCTATGGGGGAGGAGAAAATTAGAGTGGGAAAGACAGAAATAGAAGAGAAGAAAACAGATAAACTTGAAAACATATTCTACAAAGCTCACCTCCTGTTCTGAGAGCTGCAGAGAGCATTTCTCTACATTTCACTCGTACAGAGTCTGAAGTGCTTGGAGCTCGGGGAAAAGAAGGGATGAAAGAATTTGAAGGAGCACTACCCTCCTCCTTCCTGCTGCTGGAATTGCTACTTGAACTGCTAAAATAAGGCAAAAAGAAAACTATTTTAATGTTTTTTCCCTTCTTCAAATTACTTTATTTCTGGGCAAAACGCAGGTCTTTTGTTATATCCATTTGATGGCATTCCAAAATAAGAACACAGGCCACCTTTTAAAAGCTATTTATAGCTCTGGAGTCAATACAATCTATAAAGTGTCTTTAGACTATTCACCAGGGTATTCCACACAATAGTCACAGCAGGTATTTCATTCCATTTTGTGGCATACAAGGTTTAATTCTCAGTTCTTTACATTAACATGAAATCTCTTTTTTCCTCCCACGGAACTTTAAAAAACAGTGCAGATACATCGCACCAACATTCACTCTGTGGCAAATGCATTGCACTCAATCTGTTTACTCTATTGAAGGGGTACCACGGTCACAACTCCTTTCCTCCCCAGCTGATGTAGTTTTGCAAACTGTAAACTAAGTTTTCAGCTTCCATCTGGACATATAGTTAGAAGCTAAATTCCAATTTGAAAATGGCTGCTGAAAACAGATTCACTAAAACCTGAAGTGTATAGAAGAAACGGGCTTGCAAATACTCTTTTGTAAATGTTCTTTAGCTCTCCTCAGTGACATTAATATGGTCTCCTTTTTATGATAACATATTTTGTGTTTACCAAAAGAAGTGCAGATTGTTTATTAAACATAAAAGCTAAAAGACAAAGTATTGTAAACATCCAGCACGTGCAATTACCACAAAGCTGAGACTGAAAGTTGTTTTACAGATCTCAAAGCTCAGTGCTAGTACTCAGAGAGGATGGAGCATTTGACAGATGGAATAAACAGTAAACTCTTGACTTATGGTTTTCTTTTCTTTTTCATGTCAACAGCAGCACAATTTATTCCTCTACCAACACACCCTTTCTTGTAGAAAACTTAATGTCTTTCAGAAAAGAACATGGTAGCTGTCTCTAATATGAAGTATTTGGACCAAATACTTTAACACTAATTTATACTTAAGTGAGATTATTTGAACAATCACGAAGAATTAAGCACCTTTCTTCTCTGGCTTCAGGGCTGTTTTGAGAGGAAGATGCAGGCTCCTTTTTCTTTTCTTCAGACTCTTTATCAGTTGAAGGTCCATCTGGAAATACAAAACACAAGAAACTCTCTTCTACCCAGAAACAGTAACCAATTTTAAGCAGTGGTAAAATACCTTTCACGATTTCTCCTGAACCAGCTGGAAATGCTATGAGCTCCCACTCTCTGCTTCGACCCTCTCTCACAGTACAGCCTTCCACTCTCCAACACCCTCCCAACCCCGCAAACTGAAAATATGACAACACTTCAGATTCTTCGAGTCAAGTCCAGCATCTGCTTAAACTGGCAGTGAAGACATGATGAAAACTTAGTCTTCTATGATTTATTTTTGCCAACACTGCTGCAGTAGGTAGACAGTAACTTCTTAGTTACTGCATCAAGTCTCTGGAGTAAATACTTGCCATTCTTTTTAACTATACTGCGAAAGCTAGCAGGGTTGCCAAATATAAAGATTATTTTCCTATTTTTGAAGGAGTTTTCCAGACACACAGACAGTATTTTCTGTGATAGCTCTTAAATTATTTGCCCTAGAGTTTAAATATATTTGAATTTGCCTTTCCCATACAGGCTGTGTTTCACCATGATTTTATAAAGAATAAAGACATAAGTCTTTGTGAAGGGTAATCATAACATTTAACTTTAGCATAGCAAGAACACAAACACCCTTTTATTGTAAAGAAGATTTCAGAGTGGCTAAATTGAGCTCCTGCTTTGATTTGCTCTCTAGAAAGGCTGGCTCTCCACTGCCTACAGAGAAAGCCTAGTGAGATTGGCAGCACTCACTGACAGATTTTGTGAATTCTTCTTTCCAAGCCCTTATAGAGCCAGAATTACACTTCTAAATTCATAGACTGTGTTATTGGAATAAGCATATATTACAAACTTTAAAAAGAATTAAAAACATATCAAGAAAAGGAAGGAAATCTGTTAAGGTTCAATCTTGCCCATAAAGATGTCCTGAACTAGGCATACAAATTCTTCTTTAAGCATCTAAAAGTATCCTTATTTCCAGAAGAACCCCATCCCCACATTTCTCAGAGGAACTTGGTGATAACATAACACACAAATTCAGGTCTTTCATTCAAACACTGAGTTTTTTTTTTCATTTTCCTAGAGTAATGGTTTTTAAATAGGAACACTAAACTGAACATGATTTCGATACTTTCCTTAACTTTCTGAGTTAGGGAATTTACCCAATCAAATATCACTTTGTTAAAGAATCATCATCATAAAGGGAGATCAGAGATGAGGCACCCATCTACTATCCCATCTCCAGCTGCACCTAAAAAGAGATGGTTTTTACAACATAGTATAGGAACCAGCAAAACACACAAAGCTCCTTCTTCAGAATATTTCCCCAGCCTTCAAGAGCTCACCCACTGTTTGTAACACTGAATTCAATCCTTGATAAATTTCTCCATTTAAGGAAAAAGGGAAAATTAAACACAGTAGATGACGCACTTGGGTTGATTGTCTTTAACAAGCTAAAGATGTTATTAAAAAAATTCCTAATAAAGGTATCAATTTATTAGCTAATACTTATAAAAAAGTATTTCTTTCACTAAGAAAGCAAATGAAGACATAAACATGGATCACACCAGGTCTTCGCTATGACACTTGAAGTGCACAATACTAGAAGAAAACAAGTCCCATTTTTAACATGCATACTCACATGACTGCTCTCTATTGCAACAAATGCTTACATGATATATGATTTTTAAAATCTTCTAAATACAATCTCATTTACCTTCACAACCTTTAAAGCACATGATCATCTTTGTCAGAGGTTTTAAGACAAACTAATAGATCAAATAGGTACCTCTGCTTCAGCCCATTCACCTCCATATTTTTTTCTGGCTCACAAGTAGTCAAATTCAGAGCTGACCTATGTTATGTCCTGCTTATTTTGCATCATACACACCACTGTGGTACAGCTGGCACCCAGTTTTCATCTATCAAACACTTCCATTTAACCCAGCACCATTTCATCAAACAAGGCAGGCACCTGAGAACACCTGCCAATACCCCAATGGCTTCTTCCCCTTATGGAGGGCAGGGTGTGTATGAGGCACCAAGATAATGCAAGAGGTAAAAGCACAGCTCCTCCTACACCTGCAGATCAGTCTGTGCAAGCATGTCTTAAACCAAGGCCAAGCTTCTTCAGCAGCTGAGACAACTGGACCATCTGCAGTAAGTATGTCTCCAAAACTATAATTCATTTAATCACTTAGAGTTTACAGATATTTTTGTTAAATCCAGTTTAAGAAATCTGAAAATAAAGTTAACAATATTATCCTAAGTGTTTAAGTCATTCACTCTTACGAATCAGAAATTGGAAAGCACCAAGGACAGGAGATGCTCTGTCAAGCTGGATTTATTCTTAAACTCACACATTAGTAAGAATATCTTATTTTATTGAGATACTGTATTGACAAAAGAACAGAATGCAATTAAGAGCCTGCTAGACAGCATTTCAGCTATCCTCTGGGGATAAGAAAGAAATGCCCTTGACAAATTAAAAATCCCTACTAATTAACTTATTTTACATTCAGTGGCCAGACTCTAATGGAAAGGAAGAATGACAGTTAACAGGAATTACAAGACACAGAAATTCTAACAAAGTAAGATGGAAAAAAATGGCCCTTCTGTGAAACATCCTTAAAAATTCCAATACATGATTCACCTCAGGAAGTCCATAGGATATCCTAAATATTTATAAATATTTACAAATTACAAGTTGCTTTAAAGAGGCACGGTTCCTTTTTCTCAACTCTATACCTATTCAAACTTTTAAATAATTTTCTTCAGAAAAAAACCTGAAATTGTCACCAATTTTAGGATTGAAAACTGTAACTTCACAGTTTTAGCAAGCCATAAAAAATCTTGAAGTTTTGTTTTTTGTAAGAGAAGTTAATTATATTAACAATTCTTCAAAATACAAAGAACACAGTAGTAATATGAATTTCCTATTAGCTATCAGAATAAGACTATCAAAGTCTGATGACTAAAATGCAGTTTCTATCTTGTACCTGTAACTACTTTGAAAGATACTCCTAGCTTCTCTGGTGAAATAATCTCTCCAGGGTCAAACGTGACATGATAGTGAATTTTGTTACCAAAACAGAAATTTTAATATAGTATTATACAGCCAGGTAACATAATTAATCTGAATGTTAGAAGTCATTAACAGCTTCATCCTAGATTTTTCTAGGTATATTAGAAGCCAACACTAGACACTTGCTAGTAACAAGGAAAAAATTAGAAAATATAAAGATGTAATGTTATTTATTCATAAATCTAACTTTAAATTAAGAAAAACTTTAAAGTAACAATTTTTCCAGAAATTTTTCCTTAATGAAAGGTGGCTATTTATTCTCTGGAAGCACATGATAATTTAATCTAGTGAGATACTGTATGTTACTGATTCAGGAATCACCACTAGAACTTGGAAAGTCTTCTGAATAATCAAATTAAGTAGGTTAAAGGAAAGAGATATGAGAACATGTATCAGATGACATAATTAATTTAACAACGACCCTCATATTTAATAATTATTTAGGCTCCATTTTCCAGACTCTGACCAAAATAATCTTGAGATGCACAAGCAGCAACACTGGTCAGCAATTCCTCTACAAGATATATTAAGACATAAAGGTAAGATCAGTAAACTTTCTTCCTAGCTGTAGCTTTGTGGGGAAGAATAACTAAGAACTATGAATAAAGGACAAAATCATTACCTGTTTGCTATTAAAATCATTACTTGTTTGCTATTTTTAAAGATTCTTTTTTTATTATCAGTTACAGAGAAGGATGACATATGGACTTCTGCACTATATATGTTTTTCACTTATATAGCACAATGTAATTTGCATCATGTGTTATTATCTCGCCACAGATAATCCTAAAAAATTACAGATCTACTAACAGTACATGGAACAGTTCCAAATATATATTTGACAGGAGTTGATTTCCACAGCTCACACTTGATATAAAAATGAAACTACCGAAATTATTTTTGCACTTGATTCTACTTGATGTCTTATAAAAACATGTACTCTTCTTATCAATAGTAAACAATAGTCTTAAACACTATTAGACTCTAATTTAAAAACTTGTTTTGTCAGTAACTTTTTTTTAATCGAAGCCAGTAGGTTTCTAGACGTCCTTGAACAACTTCACCTGAAGACAGCATTAACCTGTAAGATAGTCCTAGACTGTACCTGCTTGCTTGAGTAGAATCAAACCCAGGTGCAAAATAACAAAGGATATTATGAACAAAGTAAACTGAGTAAAACACTTCTGTGAAGCCTGGCTGGTGTTATTAACACTTAAACACTCTTTTAAAATAAAATTAGTCAGGCATGCCCTTCTTTGAAATAGGCATTTCAAAATGTTTGTGGCCTCACCTTTAGTTTTCAATACTGACAACAGATGATCACTTAATGTTAAGATTACTGTCCAATGGTTCTACATTTTTATTCAGTACACAAAATTCCTGGAGGTGAGTTTACTTACAGGTCTGGGCATTCTTTTTCACTGTATACTCTTACAGTTCACCAAGTGATGGAGGCTAAATTCCTTAAGGAATTTTTGTTGCTTTTTTAATATAAAGAAACACTTCTCACAAGCTAAATGAGCATGCATGGATTCATTATGTGTGTGGCATACTCTGTAAACTCAGCTACTTGGCAAAACAATCAGTATTTGCAAATCCTGTGTTCTAACTGAACAGTATTTTATTCTGAGAGCCGAATTTGGTTCCTTATGCAAATTGTGACCACCCTGGCTGTGTGGTTTAACGTTCTTACAACAATATCTGAGAGCACCCCTGCACTGTGGCTCAGTCAGTGAGTCACTTCAGACAGTGCTCGCCAACCCTGTGCTGTGCAGCTCCCAACCCCCCTGAACAACCACTGCTAACCTGTCAAGGCTCTAGTCAAGTCATAAAGATCTGGTGATTCACAACTCACTTTGATTTCCTCTCATGTTTCCCATGCACTCTGAAAAACCAAATTCTGATAGCATTGAACTGAAACAGTACATGCAGCCTGAACAGTAAACAATTCTTGCCTAAATTCAAAATGTCATTTATAAAAATAACTCACAAAGACTTCAGACCTCTGAGTACAATGCTCGGTACGATTAACAGCTGTCCGCTTCTGCTGCCATCTTTGATCCACACCATTTTACATGCACTATAAACAGCATAATCGAAACTGATTTCTCAAGCAGCTCAACATATGGTATTTCGTATTCTTCCGAGAAAGTCAAAACTAATGACAAAACAGAATAAGAGTACTTCGTAAGATTCCCACCCAGAGTTATAGCCCACCTTTCACAGTTATGAGAGTTTAAGTTCTAATGAATAACTGAGCAGTGATACAACAGTGAAACATTTGTCCTACTATGCTTTATTACAGGTCTATGTTACGACCAAGAAGAATTTAGGTATTTAAGTTTTGTATGCTGTATTTTCAGGAATAATTTGATTTTATGTAATAAGCACACTACCGTGACTAAACTAGACCTGGCATGATAACGTACACACAATATCTGTCCTGTAGCAAAAATTAGTGCATGAACAAAGGTCACACCCACTGCCTCAAGACGTATTCAGTTCTGATTAATGCCAAATATTTGTAATTTGCTTTCCAGTTCCTCACACATCTGACTTCAGCTCTTGCAAGAAGCCTTAGGCAGAGTCTCCCAGCTGTGTTAAAACAACCTGAATTTAGCAAGTTATGAAAAGGAAAAGTCCACCTTGCCCCAGTTACTGATGCAATCCCTGTGCAGGAAACAGTAACTGCAAACAGGTTGAACCAAAAAAAAAAAAAAAAAAAAGGTAGTTGAAATTTAAGCCTGAAGTAATAAACAAACCAATTAGTTTCCAGCTGGTCAGTTACCAGCCCTGGTCTCCTGGACAGGCACTTGAGCACTAGTTGTAGCACAGGAGGCACCTGTGCAGAAAGGAAGCCAGACCACCCCTTTCAGCAGCAGCCTGAACCCAGATTGACCTGCCGTGACCATCAGACACCACATTCTTGCTCCAGAGTATGAACACCCTCTGGTCCTCAGGTAGGAGTAACACTCCCCATGTTTCACAGCATTTGAACACTTTAAACATCAGTCAGCTTTAAGTAACAATATATTAAGACAAATTTGACTGACTGAAGATACTCAAGTGTTAGGAAAAGGGGACTACTATTTTTACTGTCTCAACAAATAAACAGCAAATCATTTGGTCGAAGGACAGCAATAACCAGGTAAGTCCCCTACTCCCCAAAAAGAGCAGCATCCAAGCACACTCCCAAAAGCTGAGTATTCTGTTGGAAAAGAGAATATCTCCTCTACTTTGTTCTCTAAACTAAGCTGCAGTATCAAAGCTTTGAACTCCAGAGGAAAAAAAGAAAGCAAAAACTACAAAACATTGATAGGGATTTGGGTTGTTTTTAAACTTAGATTAATAACTTGAGAGCTAGATCACTCAATCTAGCTGCTACTTTTAGAAGTTTTTAGAGTAACTCAAGTTAATATGCAAGTCCGTTTCTCCACTTATATATCTTATCACTTTTATGTACTGATATAATAAAGTTGGACTTCAAGTTTTAAATGGAAATTTAAAAATAAAAAGTATATTATTTTCACTATTTACCAGTTAACTCTGATCAGATTCTATAAAGATCCTTTATAAGCATGCATTTTATAATAAAAGTCATTATGATTTTAAAGATATTTAAAGATATTTTATCTATATGTCCAGTATTACCTGAATTTAAATACTAAAACTAACATAATTAGTATTATTTAACTTTTTTTAAGGTAGGCTGAAAAAAGTTTGCTGTAGAGGCTGTTGCTCCTTACTAGAATATAAAAGTTGAAAATTGTGACAAATTGTCCATTTCTACAGGCAGAGTATTTTCTACATAATTTACAATATGGGTCATTTTCTACATAATTTACAATATGGGTCATTCAGGAATGACCCATATCATCAGGAATAAAGTACCTGATAAAACACTTCATAATTGATAAAAACGAGGCTGAATTCAAATGGCAGGGGACACTAACAAGTCCTGGTATTTGGCATATTCTTCAAGACAGAACGGTAAATATTTAAATTGTAACATAAATTATTTTCTATTTAAAAATTTTAAGCTTCCTAAATCTTATTTTACCTAGACTTAGATACAAAGAAACAAATAGAGTGCAGCACAGTATATGAACAAAAATTTCTGGATAGAGTTTGAGATTTGCGTGTTTTCAAATACATTAAGTACTACCAAGTACTACCCTTGAATAAAATCCTAAGGTTTCATTAACTGCATTAATTGCTTTAAGGGAAATTAAACAAAAAGTATTAACTCACTAATTAGTAAGCTGTTTAAAATTATGGTTTAAAAAAAATGCAGACCTATTTCTCACTACCTGTAAGTTCTAACACATTTTTAACATCATTTTTAAGTTGTTCTTTTTCCCATCACAAATCACTTCATAACCAAACTTCAAAGCCTCCACACTCTCCTATGAGATTTTGCACCAGTTCTTCAGAGTACTCGTTATATGTGACACAGGAAATAGTAAAGAACGGGTTTGTTAGGGCCTAGTGCAGCAGCACAGTCACTCCAGCTCAACTGCAGGCAACAAGACTTCAGATATGAATCACGTCAGAGAAGCTGATTTCCTACTGCTTGCCAGCCTCAATAAAATATATTAACTGCTTCTCTGAATACACTCTCACCATAATGCACTGGTGACAGTCAAACGGTAAAAACCAGTTACATCAGCACAGAAAGTTTCAACACTTAGACAGGAGCACAAATATATCTTAAGCAAGGCAGTGTCAAAGATGTGCATCAAGACTACATACAGTCAAAACATGCAGGGAAGTTTGTTTCACCATACCTAACAGTTTCTTCCAAGACTTGATAAGAGACTTTGCTAAAGATGTAACCTCTTCATCTGTGCTTTGCTTGCGTATTGCATTCACCGACATTCCAATTCTGGTAGACTGCAAAATAAATAGAAATATACACCACAGAAAGTGACAAAAAGATCATTTAACAAGTAAACATACATAAAGCTGTACTCGAGCACTTTTTTTTAAAAGTATCTTTTCTTCTTTGCTTTTGTGATTTTTTTATTTTAAGATTAACAGGATGAAATGCTGCAAGCCTTTATATAACTTATTTTAACAGACTTATTTGCAACAGACATTGCAAAAAGAAACACAACAGTATTACCATTTGTCTCCATCACAGAAGTCTGGGGAGGGGGTGGGCAGGAGGGTAAAGGACTGTATTTATATTTTGTTATGATCAGAAGCTTGCTAACTGCTTCACTAGCATCGTAGTCTTAGAATTCCCATTTAGTAGTGGCTGTGGAAGAAGCTGTAATACCAGCTGGGAGTGAGCACATTTTAGTTTCCTAAAAATTCTGGCAATACTGAGATTCTTTAAAACCTTTAGCACAGAAAGTTCTGCCTTTAGATAGTAACAGAACTCTCTGTGTTTAAGATTTTAAAGAATGACCCAGCCTCTTTCTCTCTGAAAAGGCCAAGACAGCTTTAAGCCTTTGCCACTACTGCCACCTATAGAGAGAACAGAGGAGTAATTTACAATCCACGTCTTTTAAGACATAAATTAAGCTCAACAGCAACATTTTAGAAGAGTTATGACTGACATGTTCATGTGACAAGTAGAAAATTTCCACACTTTTAGCTTCAGAAGAGGAGAAAAGTATTTAACAATACAAACAAGGATTTTATTACCATTTCATATTTTGACCAATGACTAAATTAATCGTTCTTAAGATGCTCAGCTTTGTTGCATTACCATTGACAGAACTCACTAAATATAAATTATTCTACTTACTTTTGCAATAGTTCATCATGAATTTCCTTCTCCTTTAAAGGAAAATTTAAATCTTTGTGGCTCGCTAAAAATGGAACTGATTTGTTCCTGTAAATTACTTCTGACAACCCACACAACACTTTTTGAGGCACCATGAATGTGCTAAATGATTGGAAACATACTGAAATAGTCAGTAGCTATTTCAGTCAAGAAAACACATCAAATAACCTCAGGTTTGAGCATCAGCTCTAAACACACAGTTTGGATTAAAGAAAACAGATGGTTACTCACCTGTAACCAAAGTGTTTCAAGATGGACTGACTCTGCTCATTCAGATTAACAGTACTGGCCAATTCTCTTGAAATTTTGAAACTGAATCTCAACATTATGTTCAGACAATAAAGAATAACATGTCCTTCAAAATCCATAAAGTATCATATTTGAATGAGAAAAATGTATCTACAAAAAAACCCCAACACTCCACTGATAGATACCTGGGCATAAGCACAGCCTACACTCATCAGCAAAGAGAAAACACACAATCTTACAGACTTACTTAGGTAAGTAAAACCCAAAAACTCAAGTAAAACTCAAAACTAACTGGATAAATTAATTTATTATTTTGATCACACAAGAGAGACAGATTATGGTAACCATTTAAACTGCCAGCTTTCTTAAGGGAGTACACAAAAACAGCTCATTTGTTTGCTTTCCTGGAGCACTTGATCTGGCCTGCCTGAAGGGGGGAAGGAATGATCTGCTCATTTATTTGCCCGCTAACACGGGTAATTGCAAAAGATCAGTTTTATATTCTCAAAATGGCTGTGTTTTAATGACAAACTAGCAGACAGCATTTGAAATTTCCTCAGCCTTTTTGTCTATGGAGTTGTTCTTGTGAGGGTCATTTTTAAAGTGAAAAACCTTAAAAAATGAAGTGATTTTGAAGTGATTTTAAAGTGAAAAACTCCAGTATTTTCATTCTGCCCCACTGCAAATTCTAGAGTACTTTTCATCTGCTTTCAGAGTAAAGACAGGCAAAGATGGCATAAGATGGGCAAAGATGGCATAAGACAGATATTTTCACCCCTGAAACATTCAAGCTGTAGGCCAAGCAGCCTTCGGTGGATATGAGCAAGAGCAAGCAGAAGTAACCTACAGCCGAACCCAAACCAAAGCATATGATGGCAGCAAGTCTTTTCTAAACCAGAACAAACGAGGAACATAGCAGGGGGAAAAAAGCAACCACTGAAGCAAGCAGAGGTGTCACCAACTTTAAACCGTGAGAGTATGAGGATAGAGAACTGGTGAGGACAGAGAATTGGTGAGCTCTCAGACAAAGCAGAGCCAAATCAAATGCTGAAAAATAGTCACCTCCAGGTTCCCAGGTCTCCCAGCTTGCCAGTGAACTGGCACGAAGCCGCTGACAAGGACTGTACATCACAGTCTAGTTCTGCATACGTGTGTGTAATTTCCAGTTCAACCTGTTTGTTCAAATAAAGCCTGTCTGTCTCACTCGCTGTTTAGCTGCACACTGGCCACAATTAGCACAAGGGACATGATGCCTTTAATACTGTGTGGCTGCTAAACAGCTTTGCAATTCAGACCGCCGGATAAATCACGTGTGAGGAAAGGCTACTGGCTCCCTGCCTAGCTGAGCAAGGATCAGCTTGCTTACATAAAACTCGTTAGATATCACACAGTCGTATTATAGCCTACAATCACTTCAGCTTTCTGTGAAAAGAAATCTAGCAAGAAAGACACAAGACATGAGCACAAGTCCAGACTACTGATATGCATCTTCCACATACCTGTATACTGTTCAGAGGACTCACCAATTCAGACTGAAGCAGCAGTCATGTTACACAAAAAATCATTGCTTCTCTTATTACAAAGGAATAACAAAACTATCACATCTGCTAGCAGTGCTTTTCTCAATGTAGCTAGCTTTCAAAACTGATTAAAAACGGGTGTGGAAGTATGCTTTTCACTTGTGTCCTGCATTTCATCAATTCACACACATCAACAGATACCTCAATCTACACAGGGTGCAGTAAGTGCTCCCACCTTCTCATGATCATCACCCTTCCTGACACAAGCACACTAATGATCCACTACCAGAGCAATGGGTATTACTGTGCACTGTTTTGCATTTCAACTCTTGCTCCAAGTCCTCTATTGCTTAAGCAAATTTGGGAGGCCAATGTAGAAAGTTTACATCAGACATTACATATTTATGGAACTCTCAAGAAAAATAATGTCAATTTGGGTCTAAACATGTTGCTAAATGCAATCTTATGCAGTGGAACTGTTTTGAATACAGTAGTAGATATTTAAGAATAAGTTCCTAGCTAAGTCCTAGCACAGGCAACACATTATGCTAAAATACTTGATCCCTTTAGACCTACTGTAACATGGAGATATCTTCTTTACAAACTTGTATGGTGCTGCTCTAACACAGATTAAAACCAGTCTTTTACTGCAGATATTATTTCCCACTAAAAACAGGTACCTGTAATATGGAAGGGAATAAATAAGCTTCTTTCAAGTAGGATAGAAAATTGGACAATACTAATATGCAGCCCTATATAAATTAAGTCAGGGTCACACAAGTACTCTAAAAGGCAGACAGTTTAGTTTGTCTTGCAAGATTAAGAGTCCTCCTCTGTTGATAATTTTACTAATGTTTTTATTATAACTAATAAAAGAATAAGTTATATATGTGTATACTCTTCAGATCCTCATGGTTCTCAGACAAAATTGTTCTGGTGTTCTATGTAAAGCCTCTCCTTCAGTCCTCTTCACACTAACCAGAACAGGTTTGCACAGAAGCATTGACAGAATTGTCAGAGCACTTGCACAGAGATTTTTCATTTCAAAGGCAAAAAGCCCCATCATTACACAAATACTTTGCATTAAGACCAGGACAAAGAAACTTCAAAGAATAAGGTTAACAGAAGGTTTTTCTGGGTTTTGTTCTTGTTCTGTGCAGGGCATTTTTTCTGCGGGGTTCTGAGTTTGGTTTTTTATTTAAGGAAGGAGGTTGAACACAGGGAAGATGGTCTCAGTTCTATCAGCCATGCTCATTCATGCATGAGGGTGACACTTTAAAATTCCTATTTTCTGTCACAAACTGAACTATCAATAACCTACTAAGTTATTACTAAGGATGCATGAATCAAGAATGTCCTTGCTACTGATACTTTTAAGATTTAAACTTTATGGCTAATTCTGTACCTGTGACCATTAAGTGTCACCTAGAAAAACGTCTCCTCCAATTTAAAAGAGGCTACCACAGCAAATTAAGTCTTAGATTTACCTCTATCATTTGAAAATTGTCACAGACAGGGAATATCTGGTTACTTCGGAACAAGAGCTGCTAATTGATGAATTATGTGACAAACTCTGAAACTTGACAGGCAAATAAAGTTTACCCAGTGTATTTTTTGAAAGAATTTAGAAGTAGTATATTAAAAACTGTGTTAGAGATGCAGATATAAGCAACATTAGTGAGAACATGCATGCAATAGGGAGAGATTGTACCACTCCATCACTTCAGCCCAGGAGAATAAAAGAGGAGGAGGAGGAGGAGTATAATTACCCTAAGAAATACAGTACTCAGAGTTGGGGGGTAGAGTGTCAAATATGACTTGCCTGAAGGTATGAACCATGTTTCTTCTCACTTACAATCCAAAACCAGAACTAACTACATAAGAAAAGATGGTATCAGCTATAATCAGGTGCATTCTCCTTTAGGAGGAAGGAAACATATCACATATGTGTTAGAGTAAGCATGTAAGATTCTGTGGAAGGTAAACTCATAAGCAGCTCTTCCCCTTTTACGTGACAGAATTCACTACTTTGAACATATACAGAAGGATAAGTTTTAAGAGCTTCCTAGTGGAAGAAAACACTTAAGAGTCCTAAATTATGGTGAATTCAGACTACTTTACTATGTAACAAAACTGATACTTCCAAGGACTTTCTACCTAGAAATCTACTTTAATAGAGCAACCCTCTTTCAAATTTGCTGGTTCCACCTTCATCACTATGGAGTATTTGCAACATAACAGCAATAAGAAAATCATACCTGTAACAACTCAAGGGTCATGGGAATATTCTTAAGCTCCTTCAATAAATCAAGAGCTCCAGCCTGAAAAAAAGAAAGGAGATAAAAAGGTCAACCTAGTAGCAATCAGAAACGTCAAATATAATGCCAACAATATACTCTTATCTGTCTTCAGGGTTGCAGACTGGATTCAAATTATCAGTTCTCAATTTATCCACAGAACAACTCCACAGGACAAGGAAAGTTTTGCTTTACAAACTCTAAGCTTTAAGGGGCCTTAACTTGGAAATCCAAGTATTGACTCAAAGACAAGGGAAGTTTTATCTCACATTACTAAAATGTCAGTCAAAGCATTCTGTCAATTACCAACCAACACACATCCTCAAGGGTACTTCACTTAACAGCATCAGAAACAATCCAGACAACAGCAGCAATTTTCAGTTCAGAACAACCACATCTGAACGAGTTGAGAAGCTCTGCACAGTCCATCAATAATACATATATATATATATATGCGTGTATATATATATATAAATATATAGATGTCATTCTTAACTGTATTTGCAGCGGTGTGGTAAAGTCATAAATCATGAGATTTTCCCTTGCTAAGACTATAAGGAAAGGTCCTAACTAACTTCTGTGTAAACAGCAACTTTCTAGACAGATAAGTCAATTCAGAAACTGTACTATTAGGTATTAACAAAGTCTATATGCAGCTACTCTAACAATTCATTCCTTAGCAATGTTGGCCTTACTTAAAAAAAAAGGTTTCATAAATGTGAGATCCATAATTCTCTTTAACCTCTACACCCTTCTCTACCACCTAATCACCTCTACTTCAGCAAAGCTCTGCACCATCCACGAAGAGCAAGAAGGCAACTGCCTTTGCATCTGAGAGGTCATTCTACTTAGGCCCAGTTCATTACCTTCCCACCTTTTTTTTTTTTTAATTCATGAGATTTGGAAATAAACCCCACAAAATTTCCACCTTGCAATTCTTTGGAATTTGACCCCTTTTTCTTTCCTTACCTCTGTCTCAACTAATCCTATTTTGCTTTGCATTTTGCTTGCCTTTATTTTCAAATCCTCCCTAATCAACTTCTAGTATGTCACCTGTTGCAAGGAAACATGTAATGTTCTCCTGCATCTGCAAGTCTTCCAATTTAACCACTAAAGATAGCACAACAAATAACCACCAAGAGGCTGAGAAAGATGGAGGCAGAACATCTGTCTCACAGCAAAAGAAACACAGGTTTGGACACCTTCAACTGTCTGCTACAACCTCTGTTTTTAAACAGTTCTGACTCAAAGAAGCCTCCAAAACCAAACATTTCACTAAATGCTACCTTATACAAATTTAATTCATTTATAAAAATAAAGTTTTACTATTTTGCCAAGCTAGCAAAAAGCCTTATTTAACTTTTATTCGTGATATGCAAAATTTCTCCAGTTTTAACCATAGAATTTTAGCTGCAATGATGCAAGACTGAGAAATGTCATGCTGTTTCAGGTGCTAAACAGAGTTAACATACTAAACCCTTTCTTTCTCTAAACAGCCATAAGCTTGGTTTCTTTTCTGCAAACCTAGATTCAAGTAAAGCAAGTTAATTCCCTTCACTGCTACAAAACAAAATCAAATTCAAGGACATTTTCTTAGCTGAAACAAAACTAATGACAGAACTCAATGTGCCATTTTCAAAAATAGTCTGATAACACTTACCTCTCAACCAAGTAAGTTATAAACAGTAACTCCAATAAACACGGGTTATTGTAGCCTGCAACTTCAGCATGAGTGACACTATAATGCAAAGCAGCACTCTTCATCTCATCTTAGAAACACAATCTAGTCAAAATTTCTTTGCCTCTATTATACCCCTTTCCAATTGTACATGTCAAAACAATTTTATTACTCCCAGAGAAAACATTTTCCAAGACTAGGAACTTGATACATAGGAGATTAACAAACAAACAACACCAAAACCAAGTTAACAGATATCACCTATATTTTATATAAGTTTCTGTAGAAAATTACCAAAATTTCTAATGAACTAATACTTTCTAAGCCTTCATACTTCTCTAATCAATTATACTGTACATCAAGAATTAGATGCTTTAAAATTAAATTTAAATGGAATTTAAACTGACACCAACTAAACAGTTTTTCATAACCCCTTTTCATAGCATAGAAGTCAAACCCCCTCTTTTTCTCAAAACCAAAGTGGAAGTTGCACAGTACAACTTGCAAGTCCTTTTTTTTCTAATGTAGGACTTCTCTGTTTATAAAAAAACCTCCAATCATTAAGACCATTATTATAAATTTTTCTTTAAAGGTATTTCTATAAATTCATAGACAGTGAAAGGCAACACCCCACAGCACCAGGTTGGCTGGCTTCCTGTTTACCTTGTTACTTAAATTAACAGGTCAGCTTCATGCAGATTTAGCAGATTACTCCTCTCAGCTTCTCTCAGTTGATCAGATCATAACACCACAGAATGGTGGTCTATGTTCGTATTTTAAAGCTGTGCTTCAGGCAACAGACAATGGAGTGCATTTCTGAAGACAGCAGAGCTCTCCAGTTATAATTCTATTCTACTTAAGGGAGTAAACAATAACATGGACAATTTTACATTCTCTTCTCTAAACTTACTCAACCATTCTTGATTTTTTTTTTTAATCCACGGGTGCAGCCTTATTTCTCACATCTATTCATTACAACAGCTTAATGAAAGAAAAGTATACTGATGTACAACAAAAGCTGTGAAGAAGGCACTGCAGCTTTTAATCTAACTGCAGATATTCTGAAGGAGAACTAGTATCTACTTCCATTTGAAGCAACAGCAGAAATATGTATCTCACAGTGCATTAAATATTATACCACATTATTATTTGATTTACCCCTTCAAAACAAAACAACTGCATATATCACTTTACTAAAATAGTTATGAAATCTGCACAGCTACAATTAAATCCTTAGTCAATCACCGAGAGTCTGACTCAGAAAGGGTGTCTGCATGACCTGCCTTTTCCACTCATCAAAGGGAATGCCAAGGAGTGCTCTGCCACAAGCCACAGTCACCTTTTGTATGAGACATGAAGCATCTCTTGCCACCTGAGTCTTGACAACTTCAGAGTGAAAAAGTATCAATGCTTCTTTTTTTTCTTTTACTATTAATGGGTTTTGTCAAATCATTCTCATTCAGAGACATAGCCCAAATACCTGTTCTTGATGAGTAAAAATGGAGAAAGGAATACAAGAGGTTGTCAAGGGCATCGTTATCCAGTGGGTACTTGTGTAAAAATAAGTTTCTCAATTCTTCTTCTTCTTTGTGAGACAATAAAGTACCTCTTCATGGAAATCACTTTAATAATTTTGCTAAAGACAGTATTTTATCTGCAGCACGGAACTAGGTAGGAAATCACATTGTGCAATTAAAGAATGTGTAATTAAAGAAGGCATCTTATAAATGACGAAGACTAGTAAGGAAAACACAGAGACATCTCCTGTGTCAAATACCGATGTACATCCTCTCCTACCTAAGGGGTCGGGTAGGGACAAAAACTAAGGGCTTTTATCATTGTACACACATGTATTTTGGACAAACTGTCAGATCTCGAATCCTGGCCACGTCAGCAGCTCAAGCCCTCGGCTTCAGAAGGTTTGAGACAGTGTCAAACCAACAACAGAGTTGTTACTTGTGTGCAGGAAGGAGCTGGAGCAAACGAGCTCTATTCCAACACAGCAAAAACGTACAGCGCTCTCTGGTACTACTCACTCTTGCTCCTGGGACAGAGGTGAAAATCAAGGCCCAGCACTGGCTCCAGCCAGGCCCAGCTGTGCACGCTGTGTTCAGCCACATCAGACCTACACTGACCCCAGCGAAGTCACTGCACCCTCCACTGAGGTTTGAAAGTTAATTAAGCTATACATGCTAGAGCATGGATACATGTCCCCAGCTGCTGCTAGGAATTTTATCCAAACTCCAAACCCTCCCAGATCACAGAGAAATCACAGGAAGAACAATCATAAATACACAAATTTCCAGAGAATAACAACGTACCCACCCAATACAGAAGTAGTAAACAGAGTTTACAATTTACTTACATGCTATTTTACGTAAGCATAATCAGTTATTTTGCTGTTGTATACCCTGATTTTACTCACTTTGATGGATTTGTAGAAATAGTATAAACATGTTATCTAAGTAAGTTCTGTATGAAGGGCATACATAATAATTGAGTTAAGCTAACTGAATTCTGCCTAATAATATTCTACTTCCATTCTCGGGTACAAGTTATTCTCCTGATTAATAAACAGAATTAAAGTGTTTCAGGTTAGAGAAAAAGAGAAAGAAAGAGGCTCACACTCCCCATCTGCTTCTGAAGTTTACCCACACAACTCCGGCCGCCCTGCCGCAGCAGGGTTCGGGTTCTTCATTCACATCTCAGTTGGCACATCCCACATAAAACTCCAGCTTTCGCGCCTGAAAGTGACAACACCGACCCACAGGGGACCACCACTGCAGCATTCCCCTCGAGGGGACTGCGCTTCCCACAACCCCCCGAGCGAGGCCAACCCCGCGACTCTAGTGAATGGGGAGCGAAGGGAGCAGCCCTCCGCAGCCGCTCACGGCCGGGGCCCGGGCGGGAACCTCCTCCCGGCTGAAGGCGCCGGGGCTGGGGCGGCGGGGCCGCTCCGCCGGGGAGCAGGGCCGGCTGCCGGGCCGAGGGTCCCCCTCCTGCGCCGGCGGGGCGGGGGAGCCGCCGCAGCCCCGCGGGGCGGAAGGAGGCGCCGAGGCCGCCTGGTAGCGCGGGGAGAAGCGGCGGCGGGAGCGCGAAAGGCCCGGGGCCCGCTGGGAGCAGGGAGCGTGGGGCCGGCCGGAGTCGCGCCGGGGCCCGAGGCGCCGATTCGCCTCCCGCCCCGTCCCGTCCCGGCGCTCACCGCGTTCTTCTTCTGCACCATTTTGTCCATCTTCTTGGCGATGCGGATGATCTCGTCCTCCGTGGCCATGGCGGCGGCGGCCCGGGCGGCGGCGGCGCCAGGCAGCGAGCGTCGAGCGCCGGCCGCGGCAGCCAGGCAGTGCTGCGGCACGCCGAGAGCAGGGGCGGGGCGGCTGGTACCGCGCCCTCAAAGAGCCCCACACGCACCGGGAGGACAATTAAATGCCTTGGTTGGGCACTGCAACAGGCGTCCCAGGGAAGAGGTCACAGCACCAAACCTGACAGGGTTCAAGAAGCGTTTGGACAACGCTCTCGGGCACGCTCTGTGACTCTTGGGGTGTCCTGGGCAGGGCAAAGTCAGAATACCTTGATTCTGTGAACCTCTCACCCTCTCCCGCCCACAGCAGCGCTGCTAACGCTGCCCCTGTTCGCACCCTGCGTAACACAGAGCAATCCATCCCGCCGGTCATTTGCTTCCCATGACCGAGCTTTCCTTCGGCTGTCAGGAAGCAGAGAAATACAGCGGACACTTGATTTTATCAGCGTCAAAAGGACGGGAAAATACCCTCTTCTCTTTAACAAGAAAGGGGTGGGGGTTTTTTAAAGTCTATCTAGAAGGAGCGACTTTCATATGAAACAGAGTGAGGGTTTCAAATTGCCATCCTCAAATAGAAGTTCAGAGTCAGTGTTAAGGAGCTTCCCTGTCTGACCATCCAAGAACCAATCTGGCAGGGATACCCACACAGTGCTAGGACTGAGGCTTGTCAATGAAACAAGATTTGGAGATAAACTTTTGCCATTGGCCAAGCACCACACAGCGAAGTGCTAGAGTGCTTCTAAGTCTCAGAGCTAGTCTAAATCTTGTGTGTGTTCCAGTGGGGCATATCATATCTATAGAGCTCCAAGTATTTATTCTGTGTATCATCAATGAAGTTCTGCTCATCAGTTGGGCTATACTGCCTTGTTACAATTTGTGGTTGAGAACAGCATCATTAAGCCATTTCTGCTGTAGAACAGGAGAGTTTACCTCATGAAAACAGGAGGCATATCTGAAGGTTACAGAAAGATTATCCCCTACTAAGATGCAGAAGGGGGCTTATACAGCAGCTCAAATCTATTATTAGTAAGCAGCTGAATGCTGTGGATGCCCCAGTTGTAAACTGAGGACTGTAAAATATGTACATTTTGGAGAAGAGGTGAGGTAGGCCTTTTCCTTGAATGACACTCAAGGAAGCTATTATGGTAAGAACCATCAATACACTTGTCTGTCATACCCGTGGTAGCAAGACTGTCTTGTGTTTTGAAGCTATACAGAGATGGGAGGTTTCCAGGCACTTCTACATCGTGCTCAGTGTGCACAAGGGTTGCAGCATCTGCCACTTGAAAGACCTGCACATAGACAGACATGTTAGAAGCAACTAAAATTATAGGGGACCTACACAGGATCTTCCCACAGGTTAGATTTGGGCCATGAACTGGACAAGCATACAGAAATTTTCTCTGCAGCTTTTTTGTTTGTTCTGCCCAGCGGAAACCAAAAACCCATGATGACAAAGGAATGATTCCTTAAGGAAAAGAATACCTTTTCTTTCAGGAACAAATTTGGGTGAGAAAAAAAATAAAATAGCACTGCTTGTCACAACATTTAAGGGTTCATGCCAGTTCAAGATTAAATCCATTTTGTCTAGATGTAGTAAGCTAGTACCTGTAATAATCAACACAGGTATTCAACCTGATGCTAACCTCAAATGAATTTTATCATCACTTCTCCCACCATCACATCAACGGTAAAAGCAACACACAGTGTCTTAGCAGCTGAGAGCTATTGCTACACTACATGGTAAACAAGCCTGTACGTGTCCTACAGTAGGTGCAAGTTAGGTCACAGATAACACAATCAGAAAACTAGAAATCTCAAATCAGTCAGTATTGTTACTTTAAACATCTTTAAGTTCTGGAATGAAGTCTGGAAGACTTAATTCCTTTTAAAAATACAATTAAACACTTTCTTCATTGGATATGCATGGAACGCATGGAAAGAGTTAAAAGATGCATATGAAATCTATAAACATCCAAAATTTATCAGGTGAGGAACTGATTATTGTAAATTAAATGCTATGGCAGCACTAACAAAAGGCTTGCTGCAGGTCTGTAAGGGGAAAGCACATCATGCTTACTTAACATCTAAACTTATAAAAGAAATATTTTAGTAAAGAAATGAAAGATTAACCAGACAGTAATGCATATCCTTTTCTTTGCAAATAGATGCATTAAAAGCAAATAAAATACAGCTCACATTATTCCTATTGTATGCTACAATAGTAGAATGATGTCAATTAACTGAACCAGTATTAACCAGATTCTTTCTATTAGCTGCTCTATCACCCTCGAGACAGCAATTCTTTATTGAAAAGAAACACACAGCACTCTGTGTGGTTGTTCTCTTTCAGCTGGTTCTAAACCCAGTAGCTCTGTACAGCATCAAACCCTTCTGTCACTCGAAGTCCAAAGAACAGTAGGAAAGGGAAAAGAGACCAAGCAAAAGTTAAACTATGCAACCTTTTCCTTTCTGTTTAGCTTCTGTGTCCTAAGTAAACTCATTAAAAAGAAGAAATAACACAGTTTGTTGCACTGCACTTACCTGTTGTGGCATATCCTCTCCATTCTTTTCACCAACATTTTCTAAAAGGTATTGCACTCAAATCACATCGTTCTCATCCAAAGGGCCTGTGTTGAACTCGCTACAGCCTGTCATTTGCTGCACAACAGGACCTTCAACAACACTAAGACTTAACAGGCAGAGATGGCCCTCCTAAGAGAGTGCACAAATGAAACAATGTAAATTTTTACTGACTAGTCGTATTTGATGTGAAACAGCATCTTCAGCAATTTGGGGCAGGAAGGGCAAAGAGGAGCACATACGGAATTTGTCGTGAAGGATCCCTGAACTGCTATCAAGGTACTTAAAATCCTCAGTCTTCAGGACTAACATTCTGTATGGAGAAAGCTCCTCTAATCAGGCATTAACACAACTATGTAAAATATAACATTAACAGCATTGCAAAAGGTTTTATGTAACCATGTGTTATACCCTTTACCATTCTCATCCTCATTTGAATCCTCAGTGCAATGGTGACTTAGGTCTACCAAAACAGAATCTCAGTTGGTCTGAATCAGCCAACTAGTCCCCCAACCATTGCAGAGGAAGAGATGAGTCCAGTCACAGACACATAAGGGGAGCTATAGCAAATGGAAGCTCTGATTCCTCATAACAGCAAAACTTTGCTCAAAAATTTCTGAAACACTACTATGCATCCTATTAGTTGTTCTATGTTTATTCAACAGATAGGTTGGGGGTTTTTAAATTTACTTTTCAAAAATGTTATTTACGTTTTCAAAATGTCTTTACTTTTTTCAACTTAGAAGCAATAACTGAAGGCATTTAATATTAAAAAAATTAAGAAAACGTTTTGGTTTTTTTCAAGTTCATATGGTTAGATTTCTTTATTCTATGGCTACTTTTACTTATTTTTTTATACAGACTGAAAGTATTTAAGACTATTAAAGATCCCCTCCAATAATTTTAAATACTACAACCCAGCTAGCAAATTATTTCAAACAGGAGCCACTTTAAGAGTTTGCTCATATTCACAACCAAGGAACAGACTCCAACTTTTAGACTCCATCTGCTTCATGTGTTAATGCAAAGAAATAGCCTTTTAAAAAAAGAATCCCTGAGAGAAGTAATCTCTTCCACACAGAAAAGCTAAATTTCCCACTTTAAGGCCTTAAGCAAGTTCACTACACCTCAGCTGGCTGGAAGTTTTAAGTTTTACAGAAAAAAAAGAAGGCAATGGGTTGCTCTCTTCTAATAATTGGTACGAAGGGAAAAGCATGATCTACTGATTCACTTTGTGGACGTCCATTAAATTATACAAGTACTTAGTTTAAATCAGCTTTAATCAGTTACATCAAAGGCACTTGTTCAACTTAAAGAGAATTAATAAAACCTGTTATCCCAAAGGCAAACAGTGGCAAGATGAGAGTGGCAAGCAATGACAAGGAAGGAAAAAAAAGGGGAAGGAGACAGGGAGGGTGAATCTGTTCTACAGCTATTCATCTTCAAAGAATCACATTTCCAAGTTAACCAATAGACATTCTGAAAATTTCCTGAGTCACCTTC